TGGACTCCCTTGCCAATGAGTTGGACGCTTTGCGATCTCACTGGGAAAGCACCAACCGGAATTACCGTCTGAGCAGCCAGCTGGATCTGGAGCGGACTCCTACCAAGGATAATAGTGAGGGACCTGCACTGATGAGTGATAGCTTGGCAGAATGGAGGAGGAGACTGGACGAGGATGACCGGGATGGGTTTGATGTGCAAACCAAGCCATTGAACACCGGGGCCGCACACCCCGAACACTCTAATGTGATCTGAAGGTCTTGCCCTCTATTGTTGTTCTATGACTATGTGCCCTAAGATATGTCAATTTGCACCGTCTGAGCGTTCTGCACATGTATTTGCAACAGTTTTTTTTTTTTTTTTTTTTTTCTCCCCTCGTTGTGTCTTTCCACACTCTTTTCTATGTATGATGTGTCCTTTTATCCTCTATGTTCCTCTCCGCCGACGCACAGCGTTATTTTCTGATTCTGTTTCGCCGTTGCCCTCCTTTGCTTCACTCTTTCCCGTGTTGATTTTTGTTTTCGAACCCTCCGGCTGCCCTTTTTATACCCCGGTTTTCTGATGTTCATTGGACTCTGGCTGTACCACTAGCATATTTCACGCGGATTCCTTGTTCATCCATAGTCCAAAAATCGTTCTAGTTGCCCTGTGGAGGCTCTTATCTTTCATCAAGACCATCATGACAAGGGTAATCCTGCAGTTTCGTAAATTCGGCACCCAAGTCTAAATGATGTGTAAATGATGACTTGTCATCAGCCCGATTCGATAGGTTTACGCTTACTCCGCGGCGATGCCATCTCACTATATGATGTAGAAGTACTCTGTCGTATAAATTTGATCTCTTGTCATATGTGGTAATCAGTTTGTAAGCGTGATGCTGCACGTTTGCCTCTATATTGTAATCGACTGAGACGATCTTCCCATCGAAAATCGCGCATACTACAGGATCTGGTATTGTTGATTCAGGATCATGTATACATAAGCAAGACCACTACGGACATCATGTCTCGCAATGAGAGCAATGTGATTGTATATGACTTAAATGAGAATGGTATACATCTTAGATTGGGTATCACTTCAATATTGAGAGCATTCTTATAGGTTTGATGCCTGTCGTCCGCGTAGTTCTGGATACTGTATCGCCACCAAGATTGCCATTTTCTATACAAGTTTAACCAAGATATAATCTTCATATCTTTTATATCAGTGTCTGATATATCATTTAATGTGAAAGTATACATCCAATGGTACTAATACATATATAGTTACCTAGGTAGTATGTAAATGTAATAAAAGTCTACAATAGTATACCTAGTATGTAGATGCCCAATACCAAAATTACGCAAAATTACCATACCACGCCCAATGACCAGGGTAAAAAAAGAAACCTCCCGAGGTCGGGCGTGACTGCCGTCCCCTGCGTTAAATCAAAGGGGAAAAAATACCCTTCTCACCGACTCAACTCGCCCCTCTCATCCTCTCCTTCTTCCCCTTCTCAAAGCATCGTATATCTCTGTTCCTTTTCTAAAGGCTTTTGCCCTTGTCCTTTAATTTCTTTGTGATAAATTTCCGGATCTTCCCGGCTCATCTGTTCTTGAGCCATTCGAGCCATCTAAGTACGGTCGGCAACACGTCTTTGATCCGTTATCTCCAGGTATGCCTAGATTGATTCGTTCGGCTTTTTACCTTTGACTTCCAGTGGTCTATTACATTGGCTTTCCTTCTTTCCTTCTTTCATTGCATCACCAAATTGTGTTGTGTTTCTGTTTCTGTTTCCTGTGTTAGCTGATCTGGCCCAGCCTTCTCAAGTTGCCTGAGGCTCAGTTGGTAACCCCTCTCACTGATTTCCTGTTTCTTTCCCTCCACCTCTCTCTCTCTCTCTCTCTCTCTCTCTTCCTCTCTCTCTTCCTCTCTCTCTATTTTACACCCCTTGATACTCCATCGATCCCAGCTCTTGCATATCGTTTCTTCTTCAACAGGATTCGAACACAATCTAATATTCTGAATCTTCTAGCCTCAAGTCCTTTCTCACGGCTAAGTGCTGTGCCCCCATCGGTTCAGGATGACGACCATGGTCAGTGTTAGCCACCCCCGATTTCTTTCTTTCTTTCTTCCTTCTTCACTCGGAGTCGTGTCTTTAATGGCTTGAGTATTACACTCGGATTATAATATAACTTTCTGGTGGTCAACAAGACAAATGAACCACGCGTTTTACTGACATTGCCAGGATTTGCGAGTCGGTAACAAGTACCGCATTGGCCGTAAGATCGGCAGTGGCAGTTTCGGTGACATTTATCTCGGTATGGATATAACAAATACGGCTTTACCCCTACACAACAACTCATAACTTCTAGGAACGAACATCATCTCCGGCGAAGAGATTGCCATCAAGCTCGAGAGTGTCAAGGCCAAGCACCCCCAGCTTGAATACGAAGCCCGTGTCTACAAGTCGCTTGCCGGTGGTGTCGGTATTCCCTTCGTCCGTTGGTTCGGTACCGAATGCGATTACAATGCCATGGTAATCGATCTGCTGGGGCCCAGTCTGGAGGACCTTTTCAACTTCTGCAACCGCAAGTTCTCGCTGAAGACCGTCCTACTTCTCGCCGATCAGCTCATTTCCCGCATCGAATACATCCATGCCAAGTCCTTCATTCACCGTGATATTAAGCCCGACAACTTCCTAATGGGCATTGGTAAGCGAGGCAACCAGGTCAACGTGATTGATTTCGGTCTTGCGAAGAAATACCGTGACCCCAAGACCCACTTCCACATTCCTTACCGTGAGAACAAGAACCTTACTGGAACTGCCCGTTACGCCAGTATCAACACCCATCTCGGTGTCGAGCAGTCTCGACGTGATGACATGGAATCTCTGGGTTATGTCATGCTCTACTTCTGCCGTGGCTCTCTCCCCTGGCAGGGTCTGAAGGCTGCTACCAAGAAGCAGAAGTACGACCGCATTATGGAGAAGAAGATGACTACCCCCACGGAAGTTCTGTGCCGTGGTTTCCCCAACGAATTTGCCATCTACCTGAACTACACTCGTTCGCTCCGCTTCGACGACAAGCCCGATTACTCCTACCTCCGCAAGATTTTCCGTGACCTCTTCGTCCGCGAGTCGTTCCAGTACGACTACGTCTTCGACTGGACCGTTTACAAGTACCAGAAGAACGCCGCCATGATCGTGGACGCTTCCAAGAAGGACAAGGATGCTGAGGATCAGCAACGCCGTCAGGCTCTGCCTGCGGCTGGTCAGATGGGAGCCAGTGGCGCCGTCAAGCCGGGTGCCATCTCCAGCCAGCGTCGTAAGGTCGTCGAACGCGGCACCCTCGACACTCCGGACACCAACCGTGCCGTGGGAGGTAGCGATAGGATGTGAGTACATGAAACCTGGTTCCGAGTAGGGACCCCTTCTTTCTTAACTCCTACGTTGAGTGATTTGCATTTCGTGACGCTGGCGTGGAGGACCCTTATGTTCTGAATCTGACTAATCGCATAGTCTTCGGCGTTAGGCTACGTTCTGCCTCGAAAGGTGCTGCTTTGGGGTATGGACCTTCTGGTGGCCGTTCGAAGCGGGACGAAGGAGCGGAGGCCCAGTGGTACTAATCGTGTTTACACGACGGTGAGGCTATGTTTTACATTTGCCTCCTGTCTGTTCACATTCTTATCTACTAAGAAAACCGGGGACCCGTTCATGTCGCCTTAGAGCGGACCATGTCGCATTCAGCCTTCTCGGACATTTCTTTGTTTTTTTTTTCTTGGATCTCTATTCATTCTGCACTCCCCAACAGCCCTCCTATCCCGTTTTCGATCAGATTTCGATCTCAGCCGTTTCGATTCGCCTCTGTTTATCGCCTGCTCGCCTTCAGCCCCATGGACCCTTTGCCGATTGGGTGGTCACTCCTGCGCTGAGCTTGCGAATACTTTGTCGACTATTTTCTGTCTTTTCGGATTCTTGTACCCGTTCTGCGGGACAACCGATTGCACGTCTCGAAACGTTTCTGATATTGTGGCTTATTTTTACGTCTTCGCCCTTTGGTTTCTCTTTACAACCCTGGCATCTTTGGTCAGAACGACCAGAGGGCAAGACTAAGGGGGATGCAAATGACGGTGTCAACCCGCAATTTCTTTTTTTTTTTCGTCGGATTGTTTAATCGCTGGTACTGGAGATCCTTGAATGCATCCTCGGATGCGCTGCCTATCATTGCTTACCCCTTTTCTTTACTCATGATGTTTATCTCTCTGCCCTTGATCTTCCCCAGTTCTTTTTCTTTTTCTTTTTTTTTTTGCGTTTGCCTGGCGATGATTGATTTGTGAACTATCGACGCTCAACGGGGACGAGGTGTGGCCTCCAACATGGCCAAATGAGGTTTGAGACGGGGACGGCTTTCGGGAGCATTGCGTTGCAGGCTTTCTGTATTTCTGCTCATGCTACACTGCGGAAATTACTCTTACAGAAGGTCTCTAATGCAATCCCGCTTTACAGGAGAATGGTGTGGTTGGCGACGGACATTGGTTAGGGTCGCTTCCGGGGTGGTATGCGTCGATTTGTGTCAAGTTATTTCTCTTAGCTCTCTCTACACTGCACTTCCAATTTGCTTACTTTCATCCGAACTGGAATCCTGCTATTCAACTAGCAACCAGGCCTGGAACTTGGCCCTTCAAACAGCCGTACTTCCCGGTCCCAAAGAGTAGAAAAACGGTGAGATCATCGAAAGTTTACGGCCGTGAACCCAACACTCGAATTGATTGGATATTTGAGAGGATATGTAAACCTTGGAAGTATACCTTGAAATTGGGCATCGTGTAGGAAAGTAGTAAATGAAATTGGCATCGTATAGGAGATGTCATGACAACATTGAATTCTGTACATACAAGGGAACGCCTCCCGATACATGAAACTTGACCAGATAATAGATTTTCCCTCCAAAGTTTTCCCACCTTCACCTCCTAACTTTCCGACAAGCCTTGAAGACCTTGGGAACTGTCCAAGATTCCGTAATGGATTACCCTTTCTATGACCCCAGATCACAACCATCGGGCTTCTCGCTCTATGGCCTGCCTACCCCCGACCAACCCCATGTCCAACCAGACACATTCGCCCCTTTGGTACGTCCTTTGTCCCCCTCCTTCAAGAACTTATCGCTAATAGACTACAATAATTACCAGAACTTCCCTAACTTTGACCCCTCATTCCCCGTCGATCCCTCCTTTGTTCCGCCACCACATTCACCGCCAGAATCAGTCAAGCACTCTGCTTCCAGCGATGCCACCAATAGTCAGCATACACGCCCCACCTCATACGACGGCGATGAAGCTCAATTCGCCGACCCAACCTTAGGAAGGAGTAGCAGCGAGGAAAAGGAATCAGCGCCCGGGCAAAGCAAGCGCAAGGCACAGAACCGAGCAGCGTATGTGATATATCAAACCCGGTCAGAGCCATCCATCCATATAAAGCAAGCGCTAATGAGTCCCACTCGCTACACAGTCAACGAGCATTTCGAGAGCGAAAAGAACAGCACGTCCGCGATCTCGAAGAAAAAGTAAACAGCCTCGAAGGTGCATCCAACACCTTACAAGCCGACAACGAACGTCTGAAGCGCGAGCTAGCCCGGTTCACAACCGAGAATGAAATCCTGCGCGCGACATCACAACACGCCAACCGCGTACATGTCAGCGCAAACGCGACTCCCGAGCCAACCGTCACAGGGCCAATGAAGTACTACCCCACAGACTTTCATGCCACCTTCATGGCCGACGGCTCTGGCACATCTCAGAGCACAAACCACCGTCTCGCCGTGTGTCCCATTACTGGTGACAGGCTGCTGGATGCGGGTGCGACGTGGGACCTTATTCAGAAACATGAACTGTTTCAGCGCGGCCAGCTTGATATCGGTGATGTCACGGACCGTTTGAAGAATATGGCGCAGTGTGATGGACAGGGTCCTGCTTTTAAAGAGGGTCAGATTCTTAAGATTATTGAGGAGAGTGCGGCTGTTGGTCGTGATGAGTTGATCTGATGATTTCTCTGTGGTATCTTTTTCTATTCTTTCGGGTACCGCTGAGATGGTTATGATTTGATGTTGTTTGGCGTTGGGATTGATGGGATCAATACGATGAACAGCGGTAGCATTTGATTCGTTGATAATTCGGTATATATGTGATTTGATTCTGCTTAGGAGCACTTGAATTTTGGCTTTACGATTTATTGATATTAAGCGTCGATATTCACACCATAGTTGTCATTATGAACCCCAGATTGGCCTATCTACATGACAAACTACAGATGTAGATATAGTAGTAGACATAGGTAACTCAATTCAAATCGAGGCCGACAAGCGCGTTATGTCTTACAACATCAATCTCTTGGCTTTTGCCGACATGGAAAGGGCGTCATCATCTTTTTGGATATGTTCGTAATATACACACAAGCCAGATCATAAAATATTCGCAGTAATGGTCAATCGCAAGGAAATCAATCCCAGTCATCATCATAATCTTCAATGTTCAGGTCATCGTCTTTCTTGTAGTCGTCCTCATCATCATGCTTCTTCAGACGAACATCACTCTCCTTCAAGGCACCAATCTCCACGAGCAGATGCTCAATATCTATGCACTTGATCAGTATATAGTCCATATGTATTCCTGCCTTGAACAGAACTTACCTTCAACCTTGGTCCGGGGACCATTCAACTGTTGGAGCGTAATAAGCTGCTTCTTGATCTCGGTATCCTTGTAAGCCAAGATTGTGGGCGTGTTCTTCTCCGGATACCCCTCAATACACATGTCGGCACGAATCTCACAGAACTTGATATCGCCAAATTTGGCAGCAACCTGTCGCCAGAGCTCTGTCAACACGCGCGATTCGACGTTCCCGCCCATCGATGTGAGGTTAACTAGTACAAAAGCACTGTTCGATGCCTCTGTCACCTCACGGGCATAATCGACTTTCTGAAGTGGGAAGACCTGGTTGAAGAGGCTGGTTTGTTGGAGGGTGGAGAGCTCGGCGAGTCGTTTTTGCCTGTTTGATTGGTATCGTGAGCAAAGGGGGATTTTTTTAAGTATACCAACTATTAGATAACAGGCTTACCGATAGATCTCGAGAAACTCTTCATCTTCATCCTCTTCCAGTGCGTCCAGCTCGTCAAGGTCCTTGTCCTCAAGCCGGTTCTCGTGCGCCCTGTGCTGTGCGGCGATCAGGGCCTCTTGGATCAGAGGTTCGGGGTCTTTGGGCTTCTCGGGTATAATGCCATGTTGGCGGAGGATATCGTTCCTATACAATATGGTTAGCACACTATTTGGTCTATACATCATTGCCGACGGCGGGGGTATGTGCAAGTAATAGGGCTTACCACTCGGTATCCTCCTTGGGGTCGACTTCAACCTGCATGGTGAATCAAAATGATCAAAGATGTATAGATCAAGTTCAATTCAAGCGAAATATGGAGAGAATGAGGGGAGTTGGAGGGACAAATGCGCTGCCTTCGATCGTGATGCCACCTGTTTGCAGTGTTTGGTTCGGGCCAAACACACGGAAGGCCACCTTCAACTTGTCCATAGTTGGCAGTTCTGAGCTTTGAGGGTTCCAGATTCATTACCACCTCATTTACCTCAATTATATCCTCCTTTTTTCCTCCGATTTACCCTCGTTAAGCCTTCATTCCTGCGTGGTTATGCAAATGCTGTAGTCGCCTACACCGCCCTGCCCTGCCTCTGTGTACTCGACCCGTGTCCCAATTGCACCAACTCCACCTTTCTAATACGACAGCAACCACTCATTGCTGGTGCAATACCAGCTGCTGGGCAAGATGAGTTACATGAAGAAAAACGAAGATGAGGACCAGGTCATGATCAAGCTTGATCGGACCTCCGTTTTCCAAGATGGTGTGCAATCAACAATACCCCCTGGCGCCTCCATGCGCTGCACATATTCAATGCTGACGGGATAATTCTCCTAGCACGTCTATTCAATTCCTCTCCTATCTCGCCGCGAACATGCCGAACGTTACTCACCAAGATCGCTGTCCTCATGTTCACCGGGGAGCAGTTCCCTACGAATGAAGCCACCACCCTCTTCTTTGGAATCTCTAAGCTGTTCCAGAACAAAGACCCGTCATTGCGGCAGATGGTGTACTTGATCTTGAAGGAGCTGGCTGGCACCGCCGAAGATGTGATCATGTCGACCAGTATCATCATGAAGGACACTGCGGTGGGAAGCGATGTTTTGTACCGGGCTAATGCCATCAGAGCGCTCTGCCGCATTATCGATGTAGGTCGCCGGTCGCGAGGACTTCAATGCTTGAGGGGATTTGCTGACAATTGCAAAAGGGTTCCACAGTACAGGGTATCGAGCGACTTATCAAGACCGCCATTGTTGACAAGACCCCCTCTGTCTCCTCCGCGGCCTTGGTCTCTTCTTACCACCTCCTCCCGATTGCGCGCGATGTTGTCCGGAGATGGCAGAGCGAAACACAGGAAGCGGCCTCGTCATCGAAATCATCAACCGGGTTCCTTGGTTTCTCCTCGAGCTCACAGAGCCACGCCATCTCCAACTCGAATTTCATGACACAGTACCATGCCATCGGTCTTTTGTATCAGATGCGCTCGCACGACCGCATGTCTTTGGTCAAGATGGTACAGCAGTACGGTGCTGCAGGTGTGGTGAAGAGCCCGGCTGCTCTGGTTTTGTTGGTACGTCTGGCGGCCAAATTGGCTGAGGAGGACCAAGGTCTCCGGAAACCCATGATGCAGATGTTGGATGGCTGGCTCCGCCACAAGCATGAGATGGTCAACTTCGAGGCAGCAAAGGCTATTTGCGATATGCGCGATGTCACCGACGCCGAGGCAACGCAGGCAGTTCACGTTCTCCAGCTCTTCCTGTCCTCTCCCCGCTCGATCACCAAGTTCGCTGCCATCCGTATCCTACACAACTTCGCCTCTTTCAAGCCACACGTCGTCAATGTCTGCAACCCTGATATGGAATCTCTCATCTCCAACTCGAACCGCTCTATTGCCACGTTCGCCATTACGACATTGCTTAAGACCGGCAACGAAGCTAGCGTTGACCGTCTGATGAAGCAAATCTCGGGCTTCATGGCCGATATTACCGACGAGTTCAAGGTCACTATTGTTGAGGCCATTCGCACTTTGTGTTTGAAGTTCCCCAGCAAGCAGGCCGGTATGCTCGTTTTCTTGAGTGGCATCCTACGGGACGAGGGTGGATACGAGTTCAAGCGTACTGTTGTTGAGAGCATGTTCGATTTGATCAAGTTCGTTCCGGAAAGCAAGGAAGATGCGCTTGCCCACCTCTGCGAGTTCATTGAGGACTGCGAGTTCACCAAGCTCTCGGTCAGAATCCTGCACCTGCTTGGTTCTGAGGGTCCTAAAACTACCTCTCCCACCAAGTATATCCGCTACATCTACAACCGTGTCGTATTGGAGAACGCCATCGTACGCGCCGCTGCTGTCACCGCATTGGCCAAGTTTGGTGTTGGCCAGAAGGACCCTGAAGTCAAGTCTAGTGTTCATGTTCTCCTCACCCGTTGTCTTGATGACACCGACGACGAGGTGCGAGACCGTGCTGCCCTTAACCTGCGTCTTATGGGCGAAGAGGATGAGTCGGCGAGCGCTTTCATTAAGAACGGTAAGATCTTTTTCATGACTGGCAATAATAGATTTACTAATGGTTCTAGACTCAATGTATTCCCTTTCCACCTTTGAACACCAGCTCGTCATGTACGTGACGTCTGGTGATAAGGAGACCTTTGCTGCTGCCTTCGATGTTGCCACCATTCCGGTTGTCTCACACGAGCAAGCCCTGGCTGAAGAGAGGACCAAGAAGCTTACCTCGGCCACTCCCACTCTCAAGGCCCCTTCAGCCGGACCCCCGAAGGGCAAGGCCGCCGGCGGTATGGCCGAAGCGGCCAGCGCCTCTGCCACCCAGAAATACGCAGAGCAACTTCTGCAATACCCCGACATCAAGGCGTACGGTATTTTGCTCAAGTCTTCTGCGCCTGTCGAGCTTTCCGAGAGCGAAACCGAATATGTTGTTACCGCCGTCAAGCACATTTTCAAGGAACACATCGTGGTGCAATATGATATCAAGAACACACTTCCAGATACCGTTCTCGAGAATGTCACTGTGGTTGCCACACCAGAGGAAGAGGACGTCTTGGAGGACGACTTTATCATTCCTGCCCCCAAGCTACCCACAGACCAGCCTGGTGTTGTCTACGTTGCTTTCAAGAAGCTTACCGGCGAGAGCAGCGTCCCCGTCACCTCCTTCACAAACATCCTCAAGTTCACCAGCAAAGAAATCGACCCTACAAGCGGCGAGCCTGAGGACAGTGGCTACGACGATGAGTACCAGGTAGAGGACCTCGAGCTGACAGGCGGCGACTATGTCATCCCGACATTCGCCGGCAGCTTCGACCACGTATGGGAGCAGACCGGTGCCAACGGCGAGGAGGAAAGCGAAACCCTGCAGCTCAGCAACATGAAGGGTATCAACGGTACGTATAGCTCCTGTCTATCATTCTCCCCTATAAATTCTCATACTGACTATCCCAACAGATGCCACGGAACAACTGATCTCAGCGCTATCTCTGCAGCCCCTCGAGGGCACCGACGTCGCCCTCAACAGCAGCACACACACTCTCAAGCTGTTTGGCAAGACCGTCTCCGGCGGCCGTGTCGCTTCTCTAATCAAGATGGCCTACTCCAGCAAGGCTGGTGTCACTACCAAGATCACCGTCCGGGCAGAAGAGGAGGGCGTTGCCGCCGCTGTCATTGCTTCTGTGTCTTAATCCCTCTGTCTGCTTTTCTTTTTGTCGTTACGTGCTTAATCCTGGTTGGGGGGACAAGAGCGTGTGTCTTTTTTTCATGTGTCTTGGTTCGTTAGATTGCGTCGTCCACCCCTCAAAACTTGTCAATGCAACTTTTCATCCAAATATCATATCATATGTATGCATACTATTGGTGTTTCTAGTGTCTCTCCTCCCTTCGTAGTGTAGTAGCTACTGGGGTATAGACCCCGGGCTCGTAAGCTTGGATTTTTAACGCTACCTAGCCGTTGTTTAAGTCAGAGTAGGCAAGGCCATAAGGTTCCAAACTTCGAAGGTTGCAAGTTTGCTTTATATTAGTCACAGTATGATATCACTGCCAAAGCAAAACATGTATGTATAGTTGAAATAAAAGTAAAGTATTTTGTTTTTATATGCTTGTAATGTTATGAAATAGTCCCACGGAGTGTAAAATCAAGGACGCAGACGCTGAGGGTCGCGGGGGAACAGCGAAGCCAAACGGACGTTAGGCAAGCCAAGGAAGAACATAACAATACGGTTGAGACCGAGACCACCACCAGCGTGAGGGGCACAACCCTGGCGGAAAGCGTTGAGGTAATCCTCGAAGCCCTCCTGGTTAGGCTCAAGACCCTTAGCGCGCATAGACTCCTCCAACTCCTTGATATCGTTGATACGCTGGGCACCGGACATGATCTCCTCTCCACGCATGAAGAAGTCGTACGAGTTAGAGAAGCGCTTGTCGTTGGGGTCGGCCTTGGTGTAGAAGGGACGGACAGACATGGGGAACTTGTCGAGGACGTAGAAGTCGGTGTCGTACTTCTCGCGGATGATCTGGCCGAGTTGCTTCTCCATCGCGGTGGAGAAGTCGTTCTCGAAGTTCTCTTGCTCGGTGACGTCGACGCCGGCTTCCTTAAGAAGGGCGACTCCATCCATGTAGTTCATGCGTAGGGCCTTGCCGTCCTTGGGGAGCTTGAAGTCGCCGGCCTTGGGGTAGGACTTCTGGATGGTGGCGATCTGAGATGCGTAGCGCTCCTTGAGCTGGGTGAGGATGAAGACGAGGAGGTCTTCGGCGAACTCGAGAACCTCGTGGTAGTGGCCGCGGAAAGTCTTCTCGAAATCGAGACCGGAGAACTGTAGGCCATGTTAGAATAATCTGTTCTTGCCTATTTGAGTAAATATATCAGTAGATGCATACCTCAGTCAAGTGGCGGTGGGTGTTGCTGTCCTCCGCACGGAAAACGGGGGCGATCTCGAAGACGTTCTCCATATCACCGGCGATACACATCTGCTTGTAGAGCTGGGGACTCTGGGCCAAGTAGGCGTTGCGCTTGAAGTACTTGACCTCGAAGACACCGCTACCACCTTCCGTGGCGGCACCGACCAGTTTGGGTGTGGAGATCCACCGAGAGCCACTCTTAATCATATACTCAGCGAAAAGCTCGGAAACACCGCTAGAAATCCAGGTGATGGCCTGGCTGGTCTCGGTTTGCAGGTCGAGGACCCGGTTGTCGAGGCGGGTTTTGAGAGTGACGATGGGAGCACCTTCCGCGTCAACCTGGGCACCCTCCTCAGTGTTCTCTGGGGGAGGGCGCTCAGCATCTTTGACTTGCATGGGAAGCATCTGCGCAGCCTCGGAGATCATGTAGACCTTGCGGATGTGGATCTCGAGGTGGCTGATGGATGCGGACGAGATGGGGATCTCGGGCTTCTTCACAATACCGGTGACCTGCACGATCGAGTTGACGTTCAATCCACCGGTGTACTTGATCATCTGTCGCGAGATGGGCTCCGCGGCGGCAATGACGGCCTGAACCTTTTGTCCCTGCTGGCGCAGCATCAAGAATGCAAGCTTAGCACTCTGCACACGTGCATTGTCCACACGCGCCACAATTGTCACTTCCTTCTCGTAGTGTTCCTCAGAGAGTTCACTGAATCGGGTGGAGGGGACGACGTCCTCGGTCTCTGGGAGGGCACCGTATAGATCCTTGGCCGTGTCGTTGGCTTCCTGGGAGGCGGCCTGGGCCTTTTCTTGTGCCGCGCGTGCCGCAGCCTTCTCCGCCTTGGCCTTATCCTTTGCGGCCTTCTTTAGAGCGTTCTTGCTTGCGTTCTTGGTCTCGCCTTCCGCGGCGGGAGCGGAGGCATCCTGGGCCTCGGGCTTGGGACGGTGGGGCAATTCGGAGTCGGCCATGGTGCTGCGAGGTTAATTAGAGGGTGAAATTGTTGGGTTGGGAGCAGTGGATCCTACCTCAATGATTTTCTATCCTGAGAAATTTGCAGGACTTAATACAGCAGGCTGATTGTAAGTAGAGCTGCAGAGAAAAGTGTTCCGTTGACTCACCCCGCCGAATAATCAAGCCCTAAGAGGGGTAGGCGGTGTGGGGACTTGGGCGCATATCTAAACTCTACCAGCTTGACTGTATACATACATGCATCCATGCATGTAATCTGTTATTCGAACGTTTATTATCACTTCAGAGCTTGAATAAAATGCATTAGGCACACTTACGTGGGTTGATGCTGGTAGCTATCTAGAATTAACGCACATAAAACATACAATTGACTCCATATTCATGCTGATCCTTATATCAATATAGAGTGTCTAGTGTCCCTTAACACTCAAGCAGCAGGCCAGTTCGAGCTCTTCAGTGCCCATTGAACACCTTTGTGCACATTGTCGGCAATTGTCTGAGGAATCCAAGCAGGCTCTCCGCCACTGTATACCCCAGTGCGGACAAGGATCGAGTGCCAGCTACTACCAATTTCACTGCGATAGGAGTTGGCGCCTCTAATATCCGACTCTGGATTATCACCGACCATGTATACTCTTTCCAGGGGTGTGTGCTCTGCAGGGCTTCCAAATGTTCTCAGTCGGTTCCGAAGCAATTGACGCTCTGCAAACTCGTAGGTGGGTTGATAAGGCTTGCCGATCACAGTCTTCTTCAGCTCAATGCCCTTTCTGGGGCCACCTGTAGTTGCAGCCCAAATGCCCTCAAGTGCTTCTCGGAATCCGCCCTGGCCAAGACGGGGCAAGGGGTATGCGGCGGCCCACCACAGATCTGGGTTAGAGAAATATAGACGGGGTTGGCCATCCTGCTGGTAACCATGGTTGGGCAGATCAATTCGGCCGTTCTTTTCAGACAAAGTGCCCATACGTCCTTGCGACGAGAGGAGGAGGTCCATAATAACCTGGGTGTCTAATGCCCAATCACGAGGGTCATTGAACACAAAGACGGCGTCGATCTTCAAAGTCTTCGATGGGTCATTGAGGTCAATGGGGCTCGGAAGCGGTCGGGCAAAAGTCTTATAATAGTCGCTGAAGTTCTTCGAGAACGGCCAGACAGCGGGGTTGGCCATGAGAATATCTGCAGGGGTGATAACATTCTTGAATCCATACCTATCACCATCGCTTAGCGTATACCATTAGAAAAGAGGAAGGTGTCCTTGACATACTGTTCTGCCACGCGCCGACAGTTATCCCCATCGCCTCCGGCCACTAACACACACTTGTGTTCCAGAGCGCTCGACTCGTCCCATCCCTTAACTAGCTCAGCGAAGGGCGAGTGACTCTGCACAATATCCGTAGCATCCAGTGGGATCCCTAATTTCTCGCTAATTTCTGTGACGCGCTCTGTCTCGTGTTTACCACCGCCGTTTGTGAGCAGAAGAAAGGGGATGCCTTGCTCCTTCAGGAGCGCCAGCGAGTCGGCGGCACCTGGTATAGGTTTCGATGCACGGAGGAGGACGCCATCAATGCTGTAGCATGTTAGAACAACATCGAGTGGATTGTGTTCGCTGGTCAAGACTCACTCAAATGCAAATGCGAAGTTGGGGACCGGTCGAGAACTGGCTGTCTGGATAGCTCGGTGGTTGATTATTCTACGAGAAGAGATATATTGGCGTTGCAATAGGCCAAATGACCGCCAAAGGGTTTGCGATCTCATTGTGGTAGTGGCCAGGTGAGCCTGGGGAATGTGTACAGAAGGAAATGTACGTCATTGCCGGGTTCCCGTGCGGCCAGATGTTTCCCCGTGGAATTTCCATTTCCCCACTCTCCACACTTGCAACTCTCAAACTTCTACTCCGTACTCCGTACACTTCCCTTTGATTTGAAGATTTAAAAACAGGCACGAGGATTTTGAATCAAATAGTGTTATTGCTTCATAAATTCTATTTTACAGGTTGTGCTATTGTGTATCGCTCAAAAAAATAGCTGCTGGGGCAGTAACATGACTCAAAAGGCTGATTTGATGTAAACTAGACTGCCCAGGTGCATGAGAATCCATGAATGCTTAGAAAGGTGGCTCTCTATCCATTACAACGAGACCCAAGTCAGATAAAGAATTGAGTTCCTCCTCAGGACACTTGTCAATGTTCTTCCACACAAACTTGTCAATGATGGTATGTGATGCTTCAGGTATTACCCCAAGACAGCCAGGGCTGATACCAAGATAGCACACCTGAGGAAGATTCATATCCAGGGCCTTGCAAATAAGATCAGGATGAATCATAATCCAATGCTCGTCATCTGCTTCCGTGAGCTCCAGCTCACGCATCGACGTTGGAGAACCGATTGACGCAGGAGGAAGGAATAAATAGAAAAACAGATCAACAGGTATCCGAAGAGACTTCAAAGCAATGAGTCCTGATAAGATCTCAGATGGCCTCTCGTCAAACATATGGCGGTTGATACGGTGAATGGTCAATTGAATAAGCGTAGTGCAGATCTGGTCGTTGATAAGGATCTGTTCCAAGACAGAAGTGCTCAGATCCTCGCAACGATAAAGTGACAACGATGTCAAGTTGGCAGGCCACCTGAAAGAAGGCATTTTCTCAACATTAAATTGCCCGCCAACCTGGAGATGTGTCAGATTGGGTGGCCAATCTCCACTGGAACCGTCGTCCGTGATGAACGCTGAAGATGGAAGCTCGAGGGATTGCAGTTTGTCGAGGCCGCTGATGGCTTTCTTGATAGCAGAAAGCGGAATTGGCTCAGCTACCAAGTCAAGACAAAGATAGGAAAGCTCTTTGCACTTTGATAAGGGCGCAAGGCTGTTGATCCTATGGAGAGAGGTTAGCTTAAAGTTGGATGGTATGTTCTGATAGCCAGTATTTACTCACGAAAAAGAGATCCTCGGAGCAGCAAAAGTTTTCAGGTTCTTCTTCACTCGACCTAGAAGTCGCGCCGTCAGGCTATTAGAGCTGTGATGTACCAATCCCTCGAGGTCCAGGACCTGAACGAGCGATCCCAGATCCACTTTTCGTTCTCGGGAGCGAATTGGCGGGCACACGGTGTTGGTAAAAAGCGAGAAGCTATTTCCTTTCCAAAGGTAAGGTTCGCGGTAGAGAAATTCGATGCCAGCAGAGTACCACTGACGAGAGACCGCACAGAACCTTTGAAGCGTGACTTGAAAAGATGGAATATCGTTACACCAATCATCAAAAATGAATTTGGCGATATGTATTAAGATCTCTGTAGGGAGGTACACATATCGCCGAGAAGTCATGACTTCGGAGGAATCGTCCAGCTTTGGCATTTTGCAAGTCAAATAAACAAGATTTTGTTTTAAATAGACATCGCAAAGCACCAATGTGTCTGAAATATTATGTGTGATGTTTCGTGACAATCAGGGATTAAAACGACGACGAAAAGGCAACAGAGAGACCGAACCGCTTCCGAGAGAGGCAAAGAGACAGCTCATCTCAAGTGAAGCGGGATTGATTGTTAGGCCAAATTTGTTGAGAAGTGAAGCAGAAATGACTGTCAGTTGAGACCAGTAAAAAAAAGGTCCAAGGAGAGGGCGTGGGGGATAAATGATAAAAAAGGCATGAGGGGTGAAATTGAATACTTGAAGATGTTAAATGATAGGCCTGTGGAGGGACAGAACGGCCAAAGGTTAAATGCCTGACTTTTCAGGCTTCATAACTTATTATGCCTGTATTATTGACCGCTTTTGACACCGCTCTATACCGTGATTCCTCAAAATTGAACATCCCACAAATCATCGGTTTTTTCGAATCCCAGCGTTGAAAACTACCCCGGACCGCACAAAATACCTCCTCGGATTTGGTCGGTCGCAACAGCTTTAACGCCGAGAGATAGGTATATACGGATATTTGTATAGCGGGAATAGCTTTAGTATAGCTTCAACGCCGAGAAGTAGGTGTATATAGGGATTTGTATAGCGGGAATAGCTTTAGTATAGCTTCAACGCCGAGAAGTAGGTATATATAGGGATTTGTATAGCGGGAATAGCTTTAGTATAGAGATTTGGTCGGTCGCAACAGCTTCAACGCCAAGAAGTAGGAATATACGGAGATTATATAGCGGGAGTAGCTTCATTCTTTTGAAAAGTGTCAACTGCGACACTGAATTCTGCTATATATTCTGCCGGTATAGAAATTTTTGTCCTTTTTTTTTGCCACCACCATATAATTCTAGTTTATAATCGTGGCACGGCCTACCACCACCCTGTGTTGGTGGGCCTCACCAGATAGCAAATTTTCAGCGGATAACAAATTTCCAAATTAAGTATCTTTTGTATGGCAACTTCATACAAAAGGTACATAAACATAATTATAACCTCAACTCTCTAAACGAGCAGACTAGTTTAAGAAAAATTAAATAGGCAGGTTATTAAAATAAATCGGGCTTGACGGATCTACTACTATAATTAATTCTAAATATATAGTATGGAAGTGTAGGAAACTTTTCAGAAATCACCATATATAAGAATTTGTATGTAAAACATTAACCATTCTCTTACTCCACACATGCATTATAAAATTTACTAGAATTATTACTAAGTAATTGAGGCCTTATTTACACTATGTATATCTTCCTATATTTCCCTAACTATTTTGAGGGTTGAGAAAATTGGGGTTATGACTATATCGTGTTTATGTACCCTTTGTATGAAGTTGCCATACAAAAGATACTTAATTTGGAAATTTGTTATCCGCTGAAAATTTGCTATCTGGTGAGGCCTGTTGTAGTAAAAATATCCTGCCTGATTCCTGGCCCCCGTGCACGTTTTTATCCTCGATCACTACTACTAATTTAATCCTATCTATATGTATATACGAAGTCTAATATGACAAAGTGACTTAATTTTTAGTCGTTTACATACAAATTGTAGGTATCTACCAGCATTATATAGGTTGTTTGAGACGAAGGCGGTGTATGGAACTGGAAGGCGGTGTGGAGTGCGGGTGTCCCATTACTGAAAGGTGGGTCGGATTACAGCGAGGGACGCTAGAAGAGAGGTAAGGCACGTGATGTACGTCACGTGACTACAACACTGCCGATGACGATCCTCATCTTTTTTGCCTGGCAGATGCAGGTCCCCGCCTTCTATAAACAAGTATTTTACACCGCCTTGGATTTGCTTGCATACATGGACATATGGACATGTCAATGTTAGATTTAGGATTATAATCCCTAGTTAACTATATATAGGACAGTCTCTCGTATTAAGTATACTTTTTGCGCCTTTGTATGTTGTATACACCTGAAAAAGACCACCAGAAAGACCACCAAAAAGACATAAGCGGCCGATTATTCTTGTAGCTGAATAAACACAGAAATATTAATCTTAAACAAGTAGATGATATTTATTATCCTATGAATGTCTTATCACATTAAGGAAATAGGTGGGTCAAGTCCATATTTGTTGCGAGGTCTCTAGACTGGTTTGCAGATTGGCCCAAGCTTCTTCGATTCTACCACCTTCACCTCACTATGCCCGACAAGAGAAAAGCCACAATGTCGCCCCCTCCCTTGAAGCGTCCTCGGATATCTTATGATGACGATGAAGATGACGAATCTTCGACGGCATCTTATGAGCGTCCCCGTCATGATCCCCTCTATGGCATGAAGAGCGCATTCCCGGGTTTGGATGAAGGAGGCGATGAATTGCCGTACGATGACCCGGAGGATGGATTTGAATACCTACGCATGGTTCGGTATGCCTAACCTTGGATCTAAAGAGATTTTGCTTTGCCCCCTAAACGATGCCGAGACTTTCCCAGTTCTTCGCATGTCCTGGTTCAAGTCTGAACTAATTTTTGCTCGATAGATCCGAAGCAAACTCACTACCGGTCCTTTTTCTGCGCCTACTCAGACCACCGACCCTTTGAATCTAGCATCGAACACGCACCGTGATCTGAAGCAACTCGAACCAAATAACCTTCCTCTACCAGCAGGCTTTTACGAGGACGAAGCCTACATTGCTCCTGCGGAGGATGTGGACGAAAACAAGGCCGTGCATTCCCCTTCAAAGCTCGATGAACTCTACCCCGAGACACAAAATTCCTACAACAAGCTTCTCAGGCGTCGATTCCTCCACTTGCGATCGACCTTACGACGCAATCCACCCGCTGGGACTATCGACACCCTTGACGATGACCACCCTATCAGTCTCCCCCGAAAGGCCGGATCTGCGCATAGAATATGGCGGCGGCTTTTGGTCACGGTAGAACCACGCATGGTTCAGCTGGCAAGCATGGACATGGACAGCGTGTTAGAAGTGCTGGAAATACTAGCACGGATGATGTCTGATATTGTGCGGGGCGATGACACACAGCGCGTACGGCGCATTGGAGCCTGGGCATGGGGCTTGTTGGGGAGGTGCCGTGAGGTTGGACAACTTTCTACCCGAGAGGTGGGAGTTATCCGGAATCTAGGCAAACGAGCCGTGATAATTTTGCGCAAGGTGGAAGAGCTAGAGAACGACGAGTATGAGGGGGATGTCGATTCCTCTGTGGCAGACCGACCAAAGGAGGAAACCCAGCAGGGTAACCTTGTCGAGTGTGAGAAAGATACCAAGGAAAAAGCTCAGCAGGGATCTACGGCCCAGGATGAGGAAGCGACCAAGCCGGAAACCCAGTCAGAACCTACGGCCCAAGGCGGGGGAGAGGCCAAAGAAGAGGCTCAGCCGGAAACTACAGCTCAGAATGAGGAGGAAAGTAAGCAAGCAGAATTGCCGGAGGCTGCAGAAGCGCAAGACTCTAGCATGTCTGATGCATCGCTTGAAGAATCCGAGTTGGAGGCAGCCAAGGCACATTTGCAAGATCGGCTGCAAAACATTTCCGACTCTGCCAAGACACCTGCAAACTGCGATAATGAAGAAGAGAAAGCAGAAGAGAAAGAGGAGGGAGAAGAAGACGACGATTGGTCGATACAGACCCATGCACTGCTCGACATGATCATCACGGTTGTTGGTGAGTTCTTTGGCCAGCGGGATCTGTTGCAGGAACGAGAGATCTGGGATTAAATGGATTTGATTTGCATGTATGAGATACCCATTGCTACTTAATATTAATTCCGTGTTACAACGTGCCAATGTCTTGTGTTGTCTTGTGTTCTATACGTAGTGCCTGATCATAGGGCATATCGGATGCCTGAGATTCTGTTAGGATTGCATGGTTCTTATTGGAATTGGATAGTACTAGATGCTAGCTAGCTAAGAGGGCCTTGTCGCGTGGTCCAAGCCACGCGATGGCAACAGTTACTAGAGTAAATGGCAGTTCACGAACTACTTCGACCCGAGAAACTCAACTTGATACTAGCCCGGACCGTTAAGGGGAATGTGCATACTAGATCTCTAATAGATGGAATAGATTATAGGTCAATGGTGGTACGGTTCTTTGTAGAACTATCTCAGTTAACAATACACAGAAAATTAAAGAAGCATCCGGGGAAGATGGGAAGTGAGCCCGATAGCAACTAGAACATATGTTGTATCAGAATAACTTCTCAGTGATTTTAAGAAAATCATTAGCGTTGATAAGGATATCATGTTCCCCTGGCCTTGGAGGTCGGTCGTAAAAAGCAACGAATGGGATACTTAACAGGGCCCCGACAACATTGTTAGGCTGGACGTAGACCTCCAGCGCTGAGTATGGCTGCTGGGTGGAAATTCAATAGTATCCTACTTCGGCCAACCTTGGAAGGGTAATCGTGGCACGTGATTGGATGAGATTCCTACATATTTATGTAAGCTCTCGTCGAAATTGAAGCGAGAAATTACAGACACATATCTGTTTGCACTTGTTCTGTAGGTAAATTGCGATTGGTCTCGAGGAAAGGGAGAGAAAATCGGGGGTTCCGGGGCTCTGTAGGTAATCCGACCTGGTGACTTCAGGACCCCTAGGGACTTCTCACGATCTCAAAGAGCAAGGATCGAAGATGAAGAAGGATCACTATGATGCAAATTTGTTCCTCTAGATGATAGATAGTCTTTGGTTGATCTTGTGATGTCTTTCCTATGGAACTAAAGTTGAATAGTTATTGTTAGGAAGGCAGGGGCACTGGTCTAAGCTTTCCAAAGTTTGCGTCATGCCCCCCCCCCGGCAGTTCTTCACCTCTTTGTCTTCCTCAACTTATAAGAAAAATGCCATTTTTATTCCAATTCTCTAATCAAAATGGCACCAACCGTTGAAATAGCGATCCCGAATACTACCCTCTCAAACACCTCCCCGCCATACACCGTTTATCACATCACCCTCCGCCTCCCGCTCCGCTCCTTCACGGTCCCCAAACGCTACTCGGACTTTGCAACCTTCCACACCACCCTCATCACCCAAACGAATGCCCCTCCACCAGCTCCCTTACCTTCAAAAACCTGGTTTTCGAAAACCGTCTCGAATGATCGATTGCGTGAAGACCGCCGCCGTGGCTTAGAGGAATACCTTCGCGCGATCAACGAGTCCGAAGATGGGCGCTGGCGCACCTCGCCCGCATGGCGTGCATTCCTCAACCTCCCCACCGCAGTCGCATCAACGGGCACCGGATCGACAACTACCTCCACCCGACTCCACGCCGCCATCACAGATCCCGCCGCTACAAACGCACCCATCACAGACCCGACGTTATGGCTCGACTACTATCGCGACATGAAGAGCCACCTCCATGATGCACGACTACAACTATCTCGCAGAGACCAGGAGACCACCCCACAGAAGCAACACGAAAGCTCTGCACAGGCGAAGGGCAGTCTTGTCCGTGCGGGGACCATGATCACCACTCTGGATGATGGACTGAAGAATCTAGGACGTGGAGATAAGGGCTCTGAGTCACAGACAACGTCCAGTCTCGGTGGAGGCGAGATCCGTCGACGAAAAGACCTGCTCATTAATGCGCGCAAGGAAAAAGACGGCCTGGAGGATCTCATGCATGCTATGGCAACCAAGAGCCGGCTTGACCATACTGTCGCATCCATCCAAGATAAAGGAGCTTTGATCAATGCTGGGAATGGCGCTGGAGAGGCCTCTAGTGGGCGTAAGACGCCGGCGCGGACGGGCAGGGTCCTTGGCAAAGAGACAGAGCAGACTCGAGAACTTGACAACGATGGTGTGCTGCAGTTGCAGAGGCAGATGATGCAGAGTCAGGATGGTAATGTGAATGAGTTGAGGAAGGTCATTATTCGACAGAGGGAACTCGGCACGCAGATTAATGAGGAGCTCGAGGTGCAGAATGATCTGCTGAGGTTGGCGGATGAGGAGGCTGATATGTTCGTTTACGCCCTTTTTCCACATTTTCCACTTGTTTCAGTCTGGTTTACTAACGATATGTCTAGATTGAAAGCCAAGATGGACATTGGAAGGAAAAGGATTGGAAAGATCTCATGATCTTGACTGTGGATGTTTTCCATTGAGCGTAGAGCATTTCTTCTATCTATACCTTTGAGCGGGTCTTTCCAGCATAATTTAAGTCAATTTATCTGCAAACGGCATGTTGATATTATGTATGAATCTTCATCTACTTGCATGGACACATTTTTGCCCAGTAATGATTCCCTAGAATGGGTAGGAGGTACAGATTCCCATTCTCAGTCGCTGCATTCCGGGCTCGGTCAAACCTATCCTTCAACTCCTTCAAGTGGGTCTCTTTCCAATCAATTGCGTTCAGCATGAGTTCGACGACTGCTTTATCGCCCCGTTTCATGGATGTTATGAATGGGACATTATAAGGTCCTACCATCTTGCGCTCATATTCAACTATTCTCCTAGGAGGACAGTCATCCGAGGTCCAGGCATTGAGACTGGCAATTGATGGTCCATTCCTGAATGGTCACTCGGAAAGAGCATGTGGATTCCTCGTCCTTGTGACGAATGCACTCCAGTGGTCATGCTTCGCGAAGGGATCTGCACCACTCTCCAGCAAGAGCCGTACCTCTGCTTGATCGAAAGCCCACTCCGTTTTGACATTGGCATACATTATTGGATTGCCCGGTACAGGGAGTCAGGCCAGACAATCACCGTTCCTCAATAGCAGCACCATGGGCTAGGAGCATAGCACTTGAAATTGAGTTAAGCCTATACGGGAGGTGGATCCCAACCGCTTTATCAACCATGGTTACGAAGAGCATGATTTCCCGAAGTCACTTTTGACCCACGACGGCATAGTTTGGAGACGCAGATTCGTTGACTAAAGTGGAGCTTGCATAGAATGTGGATCGCATGGTCCATCCTCTGTCGGGGCATGGTGGAGAGTGAGGTAAGTTCTGACAGTTTAGTTAGTTAGTCTAGCCCGAAGGAAAACTGAAGTCAATAAACGAAGCAACCCCCAAATTTCGGTAGTGTACTCTCTATTTATTTGCTAGGTAATTTCACCACATATCATTATTCATAGTATATGCTAAATGATGATTGAAGCAGGATCTGTTGCCTTGAACATCATGGTTCCTTTCACGCTGATACGTTCGCTCCGGGCCCTCGTCCTACATTATATAACGTAATTTATCACGTATTCATGAAGCCGATCGCCACCGAATTGCTCTTGTTGCTCCCAAAAGCACTTCTTTTGTACACTCCAGTGAGGCAGGCTATCATGACATTCACACTTTGAGCGGGGCGGAACCACCCGAGTGAATGGCCGGTCAATAGGGGTTACATACTAAGGAATCCTGCCCAGGTGCCAGCAATTGCTACCGGATGCTTGATTGACTATGTTACAAACTACTCCATACGGAGCATATTGCACATGCACGTTCTAATTCGCAGATACTTGCACCTAGAAAATAGCCATCACGTTCGGAGGCGAGGAAACCCCACCGGGCATGTTCAAAGGCACGGATGCCACGAAAAAGCTCCACCGCTGGAGTTCCTGGCAGGTGCGTGCCAACGCCTCAAGATCGAATAGTTCCCCTATTGTTTATCAGCAAATATAATGGATCTGTGGAACTCGGAAGAAAACGCTCCGGCAACTTACCGATCGGCATTCCCCATCCAGCAAGGACATACTCATGAAGGAAAATGTCAGGAGATTGTGGCGGGTAGACCTGTGGGTCTGTCAGCTGCTTTCCTTGATTGACTTGCGAGAATTTTGGCGTCTAATCTTCTTGTCGCTCACCTCCCAACTGATTGCATCACTAGCGATGGCGGCGAATCCGGTGTTCCACAGCCAGCGGAGGACTTCCGTGGTCGCCTCGATTCCAGCATGCTCTGGGCTGGAGTTATCCGAATAAGCTTGCTTTTGAGTGTCTGTCATGGAGGTATCCCACTCCTTGGTCACTCCTATACGAACGAAAAGTATGTCACCCTTTTGGAACGTAATGTTGCTCTCCCCGGCAATTTCGAGGATGTCGGAAAGACGCACTTGGTGGGTCGAGAATGTGGTGTATTTAATTCCCTTTTTCTCGGCCCATGTAGCGTAGTCGATCAAGACCCCACGTCCTATTGCAATTGTGTGAGATGGTAACAGGGAATCCATGTGAAGGGGATGAGTACCTGCAATGCCCTCTCGAGCCCAATGCTGGAGACCAATTCGATCATTTTGGCGATCATTGATCTCTTCACTGGTTGTTCCACCATAGAACACGCCTTCAGATTGACCAGGCACTGTCTGAGAAAAATGACGGAGGCCATCCCACTGGCTACTTTGCTCTGTCAAACAGTCAATATATTATAAAAAAAGAAACAGAAGGGAGAAAAGCAGAATTCATCTCCACTCACGTGGATTCATAGTATATATATCATCGAATGCCACCCCTCCTAGGAGAGGCACGATCTGATGATGACATGGCTGGCGGTTGAGGTTCGGAAAATCCAATTTCGTCATCTCCCATCCCATCGTCACGCGTCGACCACATCTGATCTCGCTGGCGGAAGCCGCAGCAACGACTTCAGGGGTAAGAATAGCTAGTTTTCCTAGACCCTCTTCATAGCTACCTGGCTTTCCTAGCCAAACCTGTTTCGGATTCGGGAGCTGGTCAAACGGGATATCAAAGGGAGATTCGGCCATCGTTCCGCTGTTCTATTATCGTTTCTGCTTGTCGGAGTTGTAAGCAAAAAGTATAGGGCCGGGCATGTCGTATTCTCATAAACAGGACTTTGTGCAACGAACTATTTTGTACTAGCATGAACTGCAAGGACCTCTTTTCAGACATCGTGGTGGACCGGATCCCCACTATAATATGATTCCGCAACTGCGGAGAACATCCAATCCAATGTATAAACCGGATTTTTAGGCCGCGCAACATGGTTTCTCTTTCCGAGAAAATGATTCGGGGCCCTATCTTCGGGTCTATTGGTAGGTCGTGGGCCTCAACCAATACGAATATACCAATTTATCGTAGCTGCATAACTAATTAATGCATTTTTCTCTGGCTCTTTTAGGTATTCAAACTACCATATAAGCGATATATATGAAGCTATACAGAAATCTTCCCGAGGTCTTCTTATAAGCTCATAAATCAACTCACAAGTCTGATCTTTACTACATATAAAGGATAATTATCTCTGTGAAGGAATTATATAGTAAGTAGAGGTACTATTAGTGCTACTCCAATTGATACCTAGGTATAGACCCAATATATATCTCTTCATGCTAACTCCTAACATGTTCCCAATAGGCAATTTCAAAGTCTGGACTGAAAAGTTCGTGTGCCGTGATCGGCAAGCCAGTCGTGTTCTGCGAACTTTATGCATCCCAGCCACAACTCCACAGAGTAGCACCCGAGTACCCCTTACTTGCTGTCGCCTACCGACATGCTAAGATTTATCCCTCTTTCTAACCTGATACTGGCATCCTTTACTGTATGCTCTTCAGCTTTTTTCTTTTTCGAGAGTCGTAAGAACTACGGCAGACCATTATGGGCAGGTTCGGGTCTCAGACCAGTTCTTATAACAGGTTGGTTATCGTTTTTGTGGCTATTGGGTCAATGGTGAGCTCGCATCTATCTTCACTTGACGCGTATTTGCTAAACTTGCACAAATAGACATATGGATATTGCTCTTCGATTATTTCCAGTACAATCGGCCAGCCAGGATGGTATGCCTACTTCAGCCTGCCTGCTGAGGGTGAACCGGGATATGCGACCATCACTACCCCCGCAATCTCGACAGCAAACGGTGTTTTCAGTGCTGGCGGTGCCGTTGGTACACTTTTTATAATGTGGTCGTGTGATTTCTTTGGCCGAAAGGCAAACATTCAGTTCGGTGCCTTCTTTTCACTATTCGGAGGAGCACTTCAGGCCGGCTCTAAGTCACTGGCGTATGTCACTTCTCCTGCTTTAAATTGGACTGGTATTAACAGCCTTCAGCATGTTCCAGGCTGGTCGCTTTCTTTGCGGTCTTGGAATCGGTATCCTTGTAACCGTCTGCCCTATGTATCTTTCCGAAATGTCGAGTGCTCTGCGCCGCGGCTGGCTTGTCGGCCACCACGCTATTTTCCTGGTCTTTGGATATATGCTTTCAGGATGGGTGGGCTATGCTTGCTACTATGCAATAGGCCCCCTGTCTGGATTTGGATGGAGATTCCCTCTCGCCTTGCAATGTCTTCCCGCATTGGCGCTGCTTCTGGGATCTCCTTGGCTCCCGCGTTCACCCCGTTGGTTGATTTCGAAGGGTAAGTTCGACGAGGCGCAGCATGTCCTCCAACGGCTCCGTGAATCCCCAGATGACCCGAACAACTTGGCTGCCAAGGAGGAGTTTTTCCAGACGAAAGAGCAAATCCAACTCGAGGCTGAGAGATTGGCTAATTATGGCAGCGTGTGGAAGGCTGTCTTTACACGGAAAACATACCGAAAGCGAATGGCTATCGGATTCCTTACGCAATGGGGCGCTGAATTTGGCGGTCCTTTGATCATCGTAAGTGTGATAATACCTAGTTGAAAAATACACCCCGCTGACAACGGCTAGAACAACTACGCCGTTCTTCTATACACAAACCTAGGCATGGAGGACGGTATGCCTCTGCTCCTGAGTGCTATTTGGCTGACAACAGCTGGTGAGTATGAACATCCAGGATCTTCTATGTACCCCTTTGCTAACCTGGCTCAGGTCTTATCTACAATCCTCTGGGCGCCTGGCTCCATGATAAAGTCAACTCCCGGCGTGGTATGTACATGATCGGCTTTGTCGGCATTATCATTTCCACGTCCTGCCTGGCTGCTATGACCGCCCAGTATGCTGGTACAACAAACAAGGTCGGAAATGGATTTGGGATCTTCTTCATGTACCTTTATCTAGCCTTCCAAGGGTGAGTCAAGATTCAACCCATCCAAATCGCCGAATACACCAAGCTAACATTCCTGTAGTACTTTCTGCGATACCACTATGTACCTCTACGTTTCAGAGATTTTCCCGACCGAAATCCGTCCAATTGGCATGGGCTTCTCTCTCTTCGGTCAATTTGCTTGTAAGTTGTTTGTTATAATTGCGCCTCCAAATTCCAACTGACATACCTAGCCACCCTCATCCTCCTACAAACTGCCCCCATGGGCTTCGGCAACGTTGGCTGGAAATACTATCTTGTCATTATTTGCTGGTCTGCATTCTTCATTCCAGGTATGCTTCCTTCCTGATCAGATCAAGATCGACTCATCAACTGGAATTCCGCTAACAAAATGTAGTCATCTACTTCTTCTTCCCTGAGACTGCTGGTCTCACCCTAGAGGAAATTGCCCAGAACTTCGGCGAGGAGGTTGCTGTTAACCTTACTGGTGCCACGGATGAGGAAAAATCCCGGCTCGACCACCAGCTAGTCACAGGTGAGAATGTTCAATCATCTGTGAGCTCGGAATTACCGAAAGAGACCAAGCGATCGTCAACAAACGAGGCTCAATAGAACCTATCGAAAGCAGAATAAAGACCTTTAAGTATGTTTAACTTTTGAGCAGAGAGTGGCGTGCCAACACTGAAGAATTTTCAGCCTATGTTTCCAAGGTTAGAACCATAAAATCCCTTACTTGATCAAAGCAAAGCACTATATTTATATGTTACAATAGTAGGCAATGGGGAGGAGAATAGTAGATGTATTAAAAAAAAGATGGCAAACCCAGCCTAAGAGTGCGAAATTCTCGTCAGCGACTTGCGGTCCCCGAGGTTCGAACCCTTGATGTGTGACCTAGAAGTTCAGTCTAGAGAAGGTATGGCTCATGGTCGACATCCCAACTAGACCACACAGGTTTCTGCGTTTACCACCTACCCTGATTTTGATATTTAACCAACACTCAGGCAACCAGGCACCCAGGCACCCAGGCACTCAGTCCCCGTCATATTATTGAACATGATTTGAATCATGTCTTATATTGTGCGTGATAAGTCGTTGAAAAGAGGTTAGGATTGGTCGGGTTTTTAGATTTCGTTTACCTACTTAGGTATGTTGTAGGTAATTGGGGGCCATATAACTTCAGCTTATAAATCATCGCGGAGTTTTCTCGAGATTGGAACTTTTAATTCTTATACTTCCCACAATCAATTGTGTGTTAAGATCATAATGGGCTCAAGTTCGAAAATGACTTTGTTCCCATGGGATCCCAATTCGGACATTCATCTGAAATGCCTTGTGTCACAACGAGCCGAATGCGGTTGGGACAAGGGAAAAGTTGAAACAAAATGGAAGAAGCAACAGCTCAAAGGTGAAAAATGTATCTATTGGATTGTGAGTTTCATCAAATATCACTCTCTTCTTGTATTCAACACAAATAAGAGTCATATGCTTACAATTTGCGGAAAAGGTCCTGCCATCAGATGACTCACAAGCGATATCGCCAAAAGTACGACAACATTGCAAACCAAATAAAATAGCTAAGAGCTAACGTGTGACTACTAGAACGATGAAATCCTTCAAGATACAGCCACAACAATCAATGCTGTCTCACGTCAGCCGACAAAAGAAAACTTCATCCCTATTGGCCACATTTCACTGGATTCCAAGAACCCCGATGTAGAGCAAATTGAGCTTAACCTGCCAGTTGAGAATGTCTTCTGGATAAAAACATTCTTCATCAGGCGGTCCATCCAGGGCAAGGGAATTGGACGAGCTGCAATGGATGAGGTCGAGTCCATGGCAGTCCGAGAACCACTACTAGCCAAGATATTGATGCTAGACACGGTTCAGAAAGATGATCAGAAGAGAGAAGATTTTGCGAAGGTAACATATGGTGGTATTCCAAAGGTAAGTCTGATTTACAGCTCGGCGTTTTCAGTCAAGTAACTTATCGTCTCTAGACAACGAACGAGGAATGGTATGCTCGTCGAGGTTATCAATTGATCAAGACTGTGAAGGACTATTACCGGGAACCAGATAGAAATGGGAAGGTTTGGGATATGAGGACGGTTTTTATGAGAAAAGATATTGCAGAGTGTCAGTAAAAGTTGTATATGTTATGTGTTTGATATAACTTTTAGTTGTGCCTCTTCTACTCTTCTAACACAGAACAACCCTATTAGGTATATAGACAATAACCTTGGAATAGACAGATGTATACCCCTAGGCCTCAATAGCAGTCAAGTGCTTCTTCTTTTGGTCAGATTTCATAAATGCATCGAGCACCTTCTCTTATTTGCATCATCCATCATTAGGCCCGGAGTTAGCTTTGGAGGGGGCGCCGGAGATAATGGCTAAAGACCGAGGGTGGATGATGACCGCGGGATTTACCTTATCTCCTCTATAAATGCCCAAGTGTCTCCAGTCTATTCAAAACACTTCGCCTTATAAATCTGTCTGATATATTACAACTCATTTTACTTGACCATCTCCTCCCAATGTCATCTGTGATCGTCTTTGGCCCCACCGGCAGTGTCGCCTCTGTCGCAGCACTCACTGCCCGAGAGCATGGAGCCAAGGTTTTCCTGGCCATGCGAGACACCCAGAAGCAAATACCTGGCTTGAGCACAAAGGAAGAACAGGAAGGTGGATTTGAAAGAATCCAAGCCGACTTGACCAACCCCGACTCCGTCGCTGCAGCCGTCAAAGCATCGGGGGCAAAGCGTGCATTCACATATGTTTCTTTCGGGTCCGCTGATCATATGAGAGCCACACTCACAGCAATGAAGTCAGCCGGCGTTGAATTTGTTGTCTTCCTCAGCAGTTACACTATCGCAGGAGAGCCAAAAGACGTTACACCTGCTGATCTCATCGCTTACATCCATGCCCAGGCTGAGCTTAGTCTCGATGAGGTATTCGGACCTCACAACTACGTTGCTTTGAGACCCGGTGGCTTTGTGACGAACTTGCTGCGCTTTAAAGATGGGATTGAAGCTGGTGAGGCGAAGATCTGGGCGCCTGGTTTCCAATTCGATTGTATCACACCCGACGATATGGGCCGTGTGGCCGGCACGATCTTGGTACAGGGACCAAAGAATGACCAGAGGAAGGTGTATTTGTATGGCCCACAACTCATCGCGCAAGGAGACGCTGTCGTGGCCATTGGGAAGATCATCGGCAAAGACGTTAAGATTACTATCATCGATGAGGAGGAGGAGGCCTTGGACCAGTATCTTGAGCATGGACCGTCTAAACCATTAGCAGAATATATGGTCCAAAAGTTCGCAAGCACATCCAATGAGCTTACAAACCGCGCATGCTACAAAACTGGTGTGGAGAATGTAAAGCTGTATACGGGGAAGCCTTCCATGAAGTTCGAAGACTGGGTGGAAGCAAACAAGGGGATTTTTAATGTTTAACTCCAAGGGTCGCTTTCGGCTTTTTGCCTGGTTGGACACTTTGATATGTATTAACGGGATATATATGTATCATTTGGAATGTCGAACAAAACAACATTATTTGTCCTTGATCATCTGCTATTCATAAATACAAGGCTTCACTCAATCCAAATTCAAAGGGAACTTTGGTTGTCTCGAATAACACATACTTCATTCGAGGTACTAGCACACATATGTACAGAAGAGACGAAATACGATAGTGAGCAAAAATTTGAAGCTACGTAGGTATTACCGCCGAGTTTTTGGAATTTGATAAACCGTGAAGGCTTTAGCATAGTAAAGGCGCATATCGCTGTAATTTAAGGATAATACATGCATAATATACTAATCTATATCCCTCTGTAGTTTGACTGTCTCGTTGTCTCATACTTCAGATTTCCTAGATATGGCACGCTAAGCCTAATTTGGACGAAACCAACTGCCAACCATCGACCATCGCGGGTATCATTTTTCCCGAGATCCCTTTCTTTCATTGATCATACATACCTCTATGCTTTGGTTCTCGAGCCATGAGAAACGACGATCGGCGTTCTGCATCGCCGGCGATACGCAAAAATGGCACTTTGCAGTCGTGTGAACCTTGTCGGAGATCCAAACAGCGATGTGACCATGACCGGCCGATCTGTCGCCGATGCACCGCAAAGAGAATTAGCGATAAATGTTTTTATCATCCAGCTCCGATGACTAGGCGGGGACCGTCTGATACAGCCAATCCTGCGATAGTTTCTCGTCGACTGACTAGTCAACCAACTTCGAAGTAAGTATCTCCTGCAACAGATGACAGGCACATCCTAATATGTAGAAACAGTGCTTCCAGCCCGGGTTCAGCCTCACTGGGGAATGGGCGTTTCTTCGCACCATTGGAACCACCCTCAGCCCCTCCTGGATACCTGGGCTCAACAAGTTACTCTGCAGTTTTAACTGAGCATCGCAGTGAGATTTCGGTTGAAGCTGAAGAGAGCACAGATTCCTCTGCGGGGTTGGTAGTGGAACCCGATCGACTCCAATCCGGGGTTGATGTACTGCGGTTTTTGTATAATCTTACCGTGTGGGATATGCTGATTAAACGATTCTATGTTCGTACATGGGGCAACATCGTGCCCAAAAGGATAATGGATGAACTCCTGCGCTCGGTGCGCGATATCTTTGACAGCTTCTCCAGTGATCCGACGGCACAACTACAAGAGTTGGCAAATAGAATATTTCAAAATACCTCCCGCCCGATGCGGACGCACAAGTCTATGTCAGTTGAGGAGTACTGTTCCTCTTTCACCGGTCGCAACCTCCGCTGGGAGGCCCTCGGGTCTATCTTCGCTCTTTGCGGAATGCAATTGGTCATTACGCTAGACAACGACCCTGAGGTTATACAGGGCTCGGATGATCCCCGAGCAAAAGACCGGTTATTAGAGCAGGTGACTGTGATAAGTACAATATGCCTTGGTTTCTGTGACCAGACATCGTCGGCAAATGAATTACTGGCAATGTTACAATTCAATGATGTTATGTTGCGAACACAACAATACGGTGATTCCAGTAAGGTTTGCCCTTTCTATATGATCTCAAATATTATCAATTTACTGACCACCTGTTAGGCTACCAGGCATGGCGTCGATTGGGTGACTTGGTATCCACGATTTATGCAGCTGGACTACACTTAGAGACCAATGGCATTGAAAACTGTCCATTCTTTCTTCGCCAGTGGCGGAGGCGCTGCTTTGTTGCTTCCTTCTACATGGACAAAATGATGGCAACGTTTGTTGGACGACCGCCATTGATGAATGGCCGATTCTGCACGCTCGCTGCTCCATTAGATCTGAGCGATGAAGTCCTGATTGCCGATGGAGATGTCGTTAGCAAGGCTATTTCGGAGTTGAACAGCGCCGGGTGGAATAGTAAAGGGGAGTTACACCCAGTAAGCCAAACTCGCCTACGCTATCAGTTGGCTATCATTCGGGAAGAAACCCTGGAGGTTGTACTGGGGACCCGCGAGCAACATAATCTAATCCAGAAGTCCGAGTAAGTATATCTTCTCGTCCAATTCACATGTTTTCCCAGTCCTGACCTGATCATTTTATCACAGAGAGATACAAGCAAAGTCGCGCGCCATATGGCAATCCACCCCGGATCAGCTTCGATATGACCGGCGATTAAACGACCATTACCATGATGGGTGGCTTGCCATTGCCTATTTCTATTTGGACTATCTATACACTTGCTTTTTGCTCTACCGAGCAGTCGTGAAGCACACAAATACCGGACAAGCGGATCTTTGCGATGTATCTCGTCGGGTACTAGCAATTGTCATCCAGACTAATTCGTTACGAACCCCAATGGTCGATCTAGACCGGCACTTTTCTTGGATTGTATGTCATCCACGGTTGCCGTTAATGGAAGAGAAACGTTTATTAATAAATGCAGGTCCTCACGTACGGTGTCCCCTCCGCCAGCGTCCTCCTCCTTGAACTCCTGCGCCAATCGCATGAGCCCGGTCCACACGCTGTTCCTCTCCCGCGCGCTGAGCTGATCCGCAACCTCAGCGTGTTTATTTCTTTCCTATCGTGGGTCGCAGGCCCCGGTCACGGCAACTACCACACCTGCAAAGAAGCCGAGAAAAAGCTGTCTCGCATCCTTGATCAGCTACTCGATCCACAGCCTGTGCAGCAGCATGTGGTGGACGATGTCACAACAGGCCTCGACAACTTCCTCAATTGGTCGAACTACAATACGATCTGGGACTTCAACGCCGATTATATGCCTCTCGCCGAGGGCTTTGTGGCTTAAAGAAATTGGTCATTAGATTATCATGAACATCATGTCGAGCCAAAAGATTTCTTCATCACGTCGTTATTGTATTACCTCCTCCACTTTCGACCACTGGCTGGTATCTGGTCATACCATCCACACATAATCGCTGCGAGGAGGTGTGTCGGCCACATAATACGCCCGATGACACAACGGGCAATTGAAGTGATCTCCCAAGAACCACTTCTCTAAGCATTCCCGGTGGAAAACGTGCAAGCACCGCAGTTCGCGAATTTCCTGCGTGCGGTCTACTTGTTCCAAACAAACAGCGCTGAACAGAACATCAGTCACTACTCTATCGGTAAATCAAGCCAAACATACCAAACGAATTGTCCATCGACGGCTTCAGACAGCCCGAGATTTCCCTTCGTGGCCGTCCACCACTTCTCGAGCGTGCAAGTCGGCGAAACCTTGTCCAACTTGCGCAACCGCTCACCGGAATTTTTTCGTGATCTCAGGAACGACTGTCTGTCCCGGCGGTTGATGAGGATTGTCAGACTGGATGACACAGTCAGAATGAGATGGACTGGCACGGTCTATGTAACACGTAACACCGACGGAGGGAATGTATCGGTGAGAATGGCGAGAATAGAGGAAACACAAGACACCAAACATAACAGGTAATAAAGATACACACACAATCGAATCCCACTCACATTAAACTAAGCACAATGAGTAGCACTACCCCAAGTCCGATGCCCAAGACGATCGCCATATGGTTTTTCTTTGGTTTTGTGTCTTCAGCCATCTCTCCGAGTCCAGGATCCTTTGTCCAGGATCCTTTGTCGCACGAACGGGTTTCGTCAAAGTCGCGTCGATGAGAGATGAGATGGGGGTGTGATGGCGACCAAGGTCGAAGAGCGAAATAAAAGAAATAAAAGTCCGGACACAAAGGGCTTTGATCCCGTATTTCTAGTTGATCACAAGCTAAAATGTGGGTGTCATAGCTCGGTGGCCGTACCAGTTCAGGGAGTTTGGTCGTAGTAGAACAGTAGACTAGACTTTTCCAAAAACGAGGAGTTGAAATACCAGTGTAAATCCAAAGATGTGAGTCTAAAGGTAGATGCCTGAGAAACTCAACATCCAAGGGAGATAATAAGAATTTTGTAAATATAATGAGCACAGGGAATATCCATTGATCTGGGGATGATCTTCATGTCCGAGCGTGAAAGCGGGGAAGAGAGGATCATCGTACGATAGACCTATTATTATTATTTTTCCTTTCTCTTATTTGGCTTATTTGGGTATTGAGTATCTCCCTGTCTTGAACCAATCAACGTGAAATGGAAGGGATAGACCCGGGGGCGGAATGTTGATCGGCTGAATTGTTCTTTTTTACCCTTTTGTTGCACATCATGGAATTCTTCAGAGATACTTGAAACATAAGTAGATGCCTTATTATTTTGCCTATTCGTTCCATCGGCTTCATATTTTTCTCTATTAGTCTACTAATAGGGATCCATATGTCTAAAGTATGTGCAGATGACTCTGTTTTTAAACTCTGCCAAGATTAACCTTCGTTGTATACATACTGCTTGCTCCACTCCCCTGCTTTATCATTGCAAGGGTCGTATTGGATAGTTTTGATAGACACACATTCATCGAACATTCTAACCAGTATTTACTCTTTTCTGGTATTCTAGACTCCTACTTTATTTCCCCCGGGACTTTTAGGATCTAGATCTAAACCTAACTAGAATGGTGGATAGGTCACTGTTACTTCATGCTAGCTTAGGAATATATATACTACAGTACCTAGTAGTTACATCCACCCAGTTTGTATATTGGTGGCCAAATCATTGAAAGAAAGTCCCTAAGGATCGGATGACCAAACAGCGAAAGGGGTCTACTGCATATGTAGTAAGTGATACACAGCTGCAGCAAGTGTCTTTGAATATGACCTTGTACAACATAAGCTGATTATTACTGTCGAAATCGTCGACATTTTTGCTTCCTTCCTTCTACTAGGTGAGAAATTTACAACAACCAGGGAGATGTGAGGTTGAATGTACAAAGTAGCTAACTACCTGTGTACCTATACCTATGTACGTATATATAAGGTGTGCCGCTGGCCCATGGATGAACTGATTTTCCCCAAACTTGACCCGAACATTGAAGTTTGGATTTCCCCAGGGGGTGGAATGTTTACACTCAGATCCGATCATTCCGATCTGAGGCTACCTAGGTACTGTTGTTAAATAGGCTATTATTATCAGTTGTCGACTGCATTGAAGGCTCTTCCTCTGAGATGGGGTTCTAAGTACTTCACCGGTGACCCACTGCGCACTAGAGGTACATCTCACCCTCTCCCTCTCGAATCTGAGAACACTCGAGAGATGGGGTCTCTTTTATATGTTGTATTTATAAGATTACTATCTCTCCCTTGCCAAAAAAATCTTCCGAGAAATCACATTCCACCACGTGCAAGTCTTCCTCGTGGGGTCACGTGAGGGCGCGTCACCACGCGTTGGACGCTCACGGGCAGATCAGTTGAACAGAAGGCAAAAAGAAGGCAATCAAGGCAAATTCCATGGTTTAACCCTCAATGGTTTTAATCCGAGTAAAAGAATTTCAAATATGCCTGTATCGAACGCGAGGACACGCTTCGCGCTTCACGCAGATAACTGTATAGACTACTGCAACCTCATACCAAATGTGGGCCCAACCCTCTACCAGCCCAACGCGTCAATCGAAGACAAAATGTAAAAGTAGAATAGTAAGAACTCGAATAATTCAAGTATTTCAGACCAAAAAGCATCAAGATCAAATCAAATCAGAGAAAGAAATTGGGTGTCCAAGTACCAAGTACCTCGGGGGAGCACTTTGTTACTAGCGCGGGCCACGTTCTTTCTACTCCGCGTCCACACCAACACCGCGACGCGATTTGATACCGTTTTCTGCATGCCAGCCTCACGGCTTCTTCAATCTTCTGTCTCTTGTCTTTTTTTATTTTATTTTATTGACAGGGTGATCGGGTGTTCTGGTTTATTTCTCTTTATCCCTCCCAACCACTCCATGCTCTCTTAGGTATCATGTCTGATCCGGAGCCTTCGGTGGCGATCTCATCCTCGCCCTCTCTCCCGGCCACCGACTCCAATCCTCTCAACTATGCTTTCCTCGTTCACTCGCAAAAAACCCTCACACAGAACCTTCCTCCTCGTGTCGACAATAAACTGTTAGCCCGCCAGAAGCGACGCCGAACTAGGTATGCCATTGTGGTGTAGTCCGTATACTATGAACGCGTCAATTAACCTGATTTGAACGATTTTTTAGTCCGGAGGATCACGCAGTCCTCGAATCTGAATATCAGCAAAACCCCAAACCGGATAAAGCAGCCCGCACAAGTATCGTGAACCGCGTCTCACTCGGCGAGAAAGAGGTCCAAGTATGTGATGCCAAGAGGTCACGCACAAAAACCACTTCTAACTGGCTCGATAGATTTGGTTCCAAAATCGCCGCCAGAACGACCGTCGGAAATCCAAACCCCTCCAGCCTCACGAATTACTCGCCCCACGGTCGGGCATGGTCGATTCATCGGGTCAGCCTTTCAGTGATGATAACGCGTCGACGGAGCCGGGGTCTTCAAGTGGGGCAGAGCAGTTTGACACCAACGACCACCGCGAGGAAATGGCGTCCAAACCATGGCACGGAGGACTATTGCACTTCTCCGATGATTCGGACCCGGTAACTGATGATAAAGATGAACATGAGCTGCCTCAGAGCACTCAAACAAGCGTCGCGACAGAGGTTGGAGAAACTCCGCCCACCACACAGGAAGAGTTTTCCCAACTGGTGAATGACCACTCGGAAGACTCTCTTCTGCAGGTACCAAAAAGAAAACGTTCCGTGACGGATCTCCGGGGCGAGGGAGAATATGAGCAACAGACAGCAACCACACAAAACACACACACCACACCTACCAGGTCACCCCCATCGCTGCGACTGTCGATGTCGTTTGATGGAGAGGCTCTGTTACGCAAAGAGGGCGAGCTAACACCATCTCCGCCCAAGGGCCGCAACGCCTTACGCATTGCGATGTCATCGGATGGAAAGGCTGTAATCCGCGGAGAGAACGAGCCCTCGCCGTCCAAGAACCGCGTGGCCATGTTCTCAGTTCGCCGAACGAAGATGTCAAGCCTGCGGCGTACTAGCAGCGCCGTCTTCCCAGCCACACCGCGGGCAGGTGTGAGCGAGAAAGATCGTGCTTTCGGTCGTTCTCGTGATTCACGGAACTGGGAATCATTCTGTGACACGGACGCAAGAAGTGCCTTATCAACACCAACCAGTGGGCCGAACGGTTCACCGGGTCTCTTCCAATCTCGCAGCCAGCGCTCATTACCTCGGAGTGTTTCGGGGCGACACGGTGTGGCTGTCCACGGCGACCCAAATACGCCAATCTCTCAGTCCATGGGAGAGAAGAGGAGGAAGCTCGCCCGCACTGTTTCATCTCTAGGGAGACTAGAGACCGACCGAAACAAGGCGAACATGAACCCATCCAAGCTGTCCAAGCCTCTATTCACCAAGTCCGGCAAGCCGGATCTGGAGCAAGACCCCGGCGACTCTGATAAGGAGAATTGGGTTCCAGGCACACGATCGACAAATATTCGCCGTCGCAACACTTCACACATCCCACGACCGGTCCTCCGCGATGCTAACCGTAATCGCGGTCTCGGCATCTCGACCAACGGCAAACGCAATCGACCACTACAGACCGGCTCACAGGGCAAAGCCCCGCCAGGACTCAGTGCAGAAGTCTCAGCTTTCATGGCCGGTGGGTCGGGGGATAGCCAAGAAGATGACCTGGACTGTGTGCAGGGTCTCCTGTCGTTGAGCCAGGGGGCCTGGCGATAAGGAAGGGATGCATGATTGATACATACATTGACATTCCGAAGCGCCATTGCCTGTCATCTTTACATCTGTTTATTTTTTCATTTCTTTTGTGATACTGATTTTCCTTTGTTCGGAGCCCTGATGTATTTTTTTTTCTATTCTTACTGTTGTTTTCATGATGTGTGCTTGCAAGCGGTCATTGCCACTGTCACGTGAACCCTGTCCATGATATACATTTTCCTCGGGCCTGTTTTTTTTTTTTTTTTTCTTTCTCTGCATCTTTTATGCATCTGCATACATCCATGGATGGTTCTTTATCTTTCGTCTATGGTGCTTTACACTCGGCGAACCTGTTTGGTTTTCTTGGCCTGCTGTTGATGGTCGATTTGACTGAACAAATGCAAAAAAGCTCCCGGGAAAGATACTAATCCTTGAATGAATCCAACGACCTGATATACCTTATTTAAGTATGAATGAAAGATGTTCGACTTGCTGGGTTCATTGTATAATCGACAAACCTCGTGGCTTGTAGACACGTAGAGTGTCTCTATCATGCTATAAACTATTGTTCTTCAAACAAGACCTAAACCCACAACACCAATCTCTAAATTTAGATCAGATTCCCCATCTATAATAAATGTACGCCCAACCCTCCCTCCTGAAATCAAGCCCCATCTTGAGCAGAAGGCAAAGCATCATCCTTGACCCCCATAGCCCCAACCTCCCCAATCCCAACCGCACGACAAACCAACCTCGCAACCCTCTCCCCACTCCAAAACGCACCAGTAGTAGTCCCAAGCGCCACAAACGGCGCCGTATGCTCCCCAGCAAACCAAAGCCCCCTAACCGGACCAATCCCATCCCCAGACCTAAGAACCTCAATATCAACATCCGCCTCCTGAACCCCAACCTGGAAATTACAATACGACCCATTCCCCGCAAACTCATCCTTCTGCCACTGCGTAGCAAGCAGCGCAACAGGCACACAATCCGGGTTTTCCGCGCTGTATCCGGGGAGCCGGGAGTAGAAGGGATGCATTGTTTCGATTAGCGAGTCCCTGTATTCAGATGATGAGGGATCAAGTCCCGAAAGACGGTTGATTATCTCCGCGCCCCCGTCGCCGTATGTGTAGAAGAGGAGGGTTGGGTGGGCGTGTGGGACTGGGAGTGAGGCTAGCGACACGAATTCTTGGTTCCATTCTACGTGTCCTGGACGGGGTGTGTAGGACGGGTTGAGGAATTGGGCGAAGACGGTGTTCGTTGTTGTTGTCGTGCTGGTGTTATCGGTGTGCCAGAAGGCATGTGGGAATGTCACGTAGACTTTTTCCAGTCGGCCGTATGAGATGTTGGTTATTGCTTGTTCGAGACGGGGTGGGAGAGACGGGGTGAATGATGAGGTGTTTTGCTTCAGCCAGCCCAGTGGACATGTTACGACTACTTCGTCGAAGGTGTAGATTGTTCCTGTGGCTGTTGTTACGGTTACTTGGTTGTTTGGTTGGGATTTGGTGTTGCGAGGTGGTGCGTTGATGTTTGTGATGGGCTCGTTGAGGCGGATGTCGGCTTTAGCGACGGCGGTTTTGGAGACGTGGTCTAGGATGCGCTTGTATGTAGATGCCACGATGAAGTTGCCTTGATGGGGTTATGTTAGAAAGTCTAATATGTCACCGGGGATGATTTGGTGAAGGCAACATACTGCCATCAACGCATTCTTCTAACCGGAAGAATTTCAGGCTCTGCTTGTCGATTTGATCGCCGACATATGCACCCCAGAGCCGACAGGCCTCGAGACAAAGCTGTTTCTCTTCATCTGAGAAGGTGGTTTGTTGGACTCGTTCGCAGAAGAAATCGAACAAACTCGTCTCGACGGGGATGCTTTCTCCATGGTGATTGCTGTATTTGAAGGCCTCTGCTATGGTGGTCCATACAAAGTCCTGGACTTTATCGCCTATTTCGTCATTGACCGGGTGGCCGTCTCGCGAGTAGGTGATATGCCTTCCACCCTCTGGATCATACATGACGGTCTTCGTTTCTTCGGCTATAGTCCTGATAGGGTTCTCGCCCACACCATGGATCCAATTAGGGCCTCTAGATTGAACATTAGTTGAGATATACTTTATACCAGGTCATAATCATGTCGTACATACAGATCCACTGCATGGTCTCCCACTGTTGATTGGTGCACCTAATCGATGAAAAAGTTAAAAAAAAACGAACTTGACTCTTGTGGTTCTGCTCCCGGATAGATGGAAGACATACTCTCCCACCTATGCGATCTCTTGCTTCTAGGATTGTTACTCGGGCCCCGTTTTGGATGAGGATGTCGGCGCAGCGGAGGCCTGAAATGCCCGCGCCGATGACGCCAATATGCGGACTTGAAGCCATGATTCCGAAAATCAATTTGAGAGATATGCGGTTGATATGGCAACTTGAGTACCTAGGTATGCTGTAGATAATATGAACTTGGAAGATTTGACGATCAAGTGAAGATTTCGGGTGTCATTGGGTGGGATGATTAGTTACCGTTCTCCACACCTGGTGGGATACCTAGGTACCTTCATCAATGTCAACTGCCAGCTGCTGTATTGATCTATATCGTCCACGGGTGGTTAATGAGTCTACTCGGGTTACAAGGATAAGATTATTTTGGGGGCTCAAGGCCCAAATTGCTTGAGGAAACGATTCTGAAAGACATCACATCGCTGATGCAGGTCAAATAACGGCACCGCAAAATCAGAAAGAAAGAAAAAAGACGACGCTGAGTTATGACCAGCATAATAGATACAAAAAGAACCATGCGCCTGGTCGAACCTGCCAATCCGCTAGAAGCAGGGACATGGTGAAGACCAATGTCACTGCCGTAGAACTCCATGACGAACGCGCTTTTTGTAATGAAAAAAAAAAAAAAAAAACTTGACTGCGAGAGATATGTACGAGTCGGAGGTAATGGAAGGGTATCAAGGAAAGTCAGAGAACGGAGGAAAGCGCCACCGAGTAAAAGAAAGTCGATAAAAGATGTAGCGGGGATCAACTCCGCTATGAGACAAATTTGGGAGCACGAGGGGTGCTTGGTTGTAGTAGACGAGGCGCGGAGATCGGAGGGAGTCGTGTATGGGACTGGGGAAACACTCTTCAGTCTTCCCAGATGGTCTCCAGGTCGAGATCCTGCCGTCGCTCGGCACCACAGACACTCCATCGTTTGCGCTTATCGCTTCGAACTGCATATCCGCCTGATCCCCCGCGCATGGTGGTGAATGAGCTGGGCACATCAGATGCGCCACGCCGTCGGTTGGCAGTATTTGCCGCGTCGGCTGCATCAGCCGCTGCCTTCAACTGTGCGATGCGTTCTTCTTCGAGAGCCTCATTCTCAGCGTCAGGGATGTCGGGGATTGTTTCCAGGGATGAAATGCTGGGGCTTCGGGAGCGAAGGCTGGTCGGAGTTGAGGGGACGGAAATGGACGAAACCGAGCCAGACTGGCCGGGGTAAGATTCGTTGTATTTGGAGCCCAGAATGGGGGATGAATGCAAGGAGGGGCTGATAGGGGTCTGGAGAGGAAGGGGTGAAGTCGGACGCAGGCGACCGATGCGGGGGAAAGTCTGCGGCATCAAGATAGGAGAGGCTGATTGTGAAGGCGATTTGGGAATGGTTTCTAATTCTGCGTTCTCGGAGATGGTTTCTGAGATATTGAGGGAGCCCATGCGGTCGATATAATCGTCAGGGCGCATTTGCAGGGGATATCTTTTCGCGTCGATTGGTGCCCCACGACCATTGACGAAGATATAACGACCCTGAGAGTCCAGCCCCGGGGAGGAATAAGCGCGCGTCATAGACGGCATGCCCGGGATTCCAGCCAGTGATCGAGAGCGGAGATGCGATCGGGCCAAAGGGGATCGTGTCCGGGGTGGTGCCTGTGAAAACCCGATCATGACGTCCTCCTTACCCTCGGGAACAACCCCGGAGTTGGTCCCGGGTCGGCGCATCTCTTCAGGTCGTGACTCCATGATGTGTAAAGAAATAAAGATAGAGAGATAGAGAGACAGAGGGGGAAAAAAGGGGTAAGCGAGATTTACTCTCGCATCATGGCATAAAGTAAATGAGGAAACTCTTGGACCTGCCAAGTGGAAGGAAAACAGAAGTTCCTAAGAGATAATGGTGAGGTCAAGGATGTGGAAAAGAAAAAAAAAAGGGTTTGAAGAAACACAGGAGAAGCCAAGGCCCAGAATGTCAACGTTCAACATTCAACGTGATGATCGTCGATCTCTTAGAGCCTCTTGGCCTTTTTTTTTTTTTTTTTACTCTTCAACTACCTTTTTTTTTGTCCCAATAACCATAACGTAGTATGATACTATCTAGTATCCATGGATTGGTCTTAACCTATTTTTAACTACCAGCTATTAACATTGGATATTACTCAAAGGTATATATCATTTAAACCTATATATACACACACTTTGACTTGAGATATTTATGACTTGCTTGGGTCAAAGATCCCATTGTAAACTGGTGACTTCATGAATGACATACATACGCTATTGGTGCACCCCAGCAAACGTAAAATTCCCAGCAAACACAAAATCTAGAAATCAAGTATCTTTTGTATTGGTAAGTCATACAAAAGATACTTAGATACCCTATAAGCATAACATACTTTTTTCTCGGCCCTCAAACCAGTTAGGTATATATTCGTATACTTTCTATTACTTTAGCTAGTTCGAGGGTGGAGAAAAAGTACGTTATGTATATAGGGCACCTAAGTACTCTTTGTATTGGTAAGTCATACAAAAGATACTTAATTTCTATATTTTGCGTTTGCTGGTGTGTATTGGCACGGATACTTACAACATTTTTGGGTTAAATGCTTTCTTCGTCTTTCTAGATATCTAATTCTGAAACTCTCCTCAATGGAGATTTGGAAGGCCTTCTGCATGGTCTATTTCTACCTTCCACAGCGAGCATATACCAACATCAAGGAAAGGAACAGTGTTATCAACCCCCTCCAACGCTTATTTCTCAACAATTTTGTACAAGTCGATCATGAATACGTTGTTTTTATTCCAACCCTCCGAAAACACCCTAGTTATCAAAATGAAAAGAATCACGCACAGCGTGGGGTGCCTCTGTCTCCGCCACGTTATTTGGGAAGCTTTACGACCTATGAAATGAGGTCATGCGCATCTGGACTATTCAGGCACCACAATTGCACTCCCCAAGGAAACGAAAGAGGTGGATGGCCTTAGAAATTAACCTTTCAGAATCCTACGCCAGACTTTGCCAGACTTTGCCACGATGTGCAGCTGGTTCGAGTCGGGCACCTTGCTGCCCTAAGGATTACCATCGAAGGCAGACTGGCAGTTCAAGATACACAAACCCCCATCTAAAAACACCCCCCGCTCAGGGTGAAGGTGTTTCGTAGCCCGGTACTCGTCGGATGTGTTGCCGTGGCCAGTCTTGTCGGAGTGATATTGATGAAGGCCTAGAATTGCCCATGTACCCGTAAAGAACTTCGGCATTTGAAGAAATTGTGGGTCAAGTTATTGATAAAGCTTTTGGGGGCCGCGTCTTAGCGTCGGAAGTTGACCGGTCGGCAAGCACTTACTCCGTAGGGAGTAGACTAAATTCAGTTGCAGAATGCTTTCGGCAGCCAGTATACAATGGACATAAACTGGGGGGGGCTCTTTGAAATTGGTGCCTTTTCTTCCAATGATACCGAAACCGAACATCATAACTATCTGATATAGAACCACTATTCCTCGCCACCAAGATAATCGGAAGCAGTTCGCGCGGAAAAGTTCGACTTTCTCCACTGCCTGCTCAAAGTCTGTTCGATCACCTTCGGCAGCGAACCGGACTAGTTTGGGATTCATGTTTTGTTCACAGAAGGAACGCGCTTCGGTGGGATCACCGATGAATGAGCCATCGAGGAAGGCTCCGAGGTCTTGAGCTGTGTATTTCTTGGTTGAGGGCATTGTGGATAACACGGAAGACTGCACTGTGGAAAGGAAATGGGACAAATTTTTGGTTTGTTTTCAAAACGACACTTGATTCCCTGGGGGTGTCTTCTGGACGAATATATATATGGGTGCCACGCTAAAATGTCACGTTAGATATACATCCACTTTGACCTGGCGGTTTCTGGTCTTCCTTGAACTCCTACCTAAGTTCGATTACAATAGATATATTTAGAGAAAGGAATCTCGTAGCTCGCGCTGCTTCGGTCTAATACAGTTAGTTTGGTCAATTCGTACATTTAAGAAGGCGGGAAACAAATTGAGCATTCACCCACTATTCCTTGGAATTCAGCCCATGTATTTACTTTGTACACAAATGGTGAGATTACTTGTATAAATGGGCTGTGCTAAGGGATATTCATTTGTTTCATCAACCGCTAAACCTAGTATAGAATGCCTTTTCAAGTTAGTTTTTGGTATATCGTGGGACTTAATAGTTTACGTACTCCTATACAGCCCGACTTACTAGTTTGGGCCTCCTACCTAATTGATATAGTTACCCTTTTGGGACTAGTGGAATTCCTAAATAGTTGAGTAACTAACTAACTACATACGATAGTTATGTAGGTGTGTAATTGATGAATTTTAGTTAATCTAAACTAATCATAGAATAAATAAATGATGTGAAAAGTCTCCCTTAAAATGGGAATACCCCAAGACATGCTCTCATATTTATTTCTGACAACTATTCATTCCCAAGACTACCTCCAACGCTGTTGAACATGTTACAAGCCTTGCCCTGATTAATACCATAACGAACAAACCTATCACTGCTATACGGAGCTGCAAATCTTTGGGGATCTCCTTCTCGCACTAAGAGAGCTTGTCGCGCGCCACCACGCCTGCCATGATGCCACGCCCGGATTGTTCGCGGCAACAGATTGCACCGAAAGAAGATGGCTTTACAGCCGACCTCGGAAACGTACCGATCACACTAGACGAGCTCGACATTGATTTGTACCCCATATCTGGTTCTCATACCGAAGGTTAGAATACACATGCCTTTAAACTTGTGAACTGAGATCAATTCACTCATCATGATACATAGGCCCATGCTTTACTCAAGAGAGCATGATTGTCACATGGGATGGGGATGATGACCCCAAAGATCCATATAATTGGCCCTTCTGGAAGAAATGGCAGGCCACGGGCATTGGTTTACTGGCGAGCTTTGTCTGTTCGATGAATGGGACCATCCTAACGGTGGCTCATACGGCCATTGGAGAAGAGTTTTACATTTCCGACACGACGTTCCCCAATTCCTACTGGCTAACTACATCCTGGGCCATCGGGGCCGCGTTGTGTCCGCTCCTTCTGTTTCCTGTGATGGAGGACTTCGGCGTTCGACCTGTCCTTCTCGCCACCTATTTTTGCTTTATTTGTTTTCTGATTCCTGTAGGGCTGGCACCAAACTTTGCCACCCTGATTGTGGTTCGATTCTTTAGCGGAGGATGTGTTCCACTGATAAGCGATGCCGTTGCCGGTATTACATCGAATGTCTTTCACGGCGATCGAGCCCGGAGTGTCCCAATCTGTTTATACGTGACGATATATCTAGCAGCGACAAGTCTAGGCCCGGTCGTTGGCTCTTCCATCCTGCAATTCCTATCATGGCGCTGGATTGGCTACATCGAATTGATCTGGACCGCTGCTCTATTTCCGATCCTGATCTTCGGTTTGCCAGAGAGCCGCGGGCCGGCGATCCTGCGCGCTAGGGCCAGACGACTACGCTGCGATGGAAAGAACGCGTACACGACCGAGAAGATTGATCGGGTAGCATTGTCTCAGCTTATCCTGCAGAGCGTCCAACGGCCTCTCTACATGCTATGTACGGAAGGGGTCGTGTTCGTTGCGACGGTATGGGCTGCATTCAGCTTGGGAACGATCTATCTTTTTACGCAGTCAGTCGAGCAGGTATACAGGGAGCTCTATGGGTGGAATGCCGTCCAGTGCGGGTATATCCAAGTTGCGATTGTGGTCGGGGAACTCCTGGGCGGTGGATTTTGTATCTTAACTAATCCCTGGTACTATGCATCTGCTACCCGCAATACCGAGGCACCGGGCACGCCGATCCCGGAGGCTCGTCTACATGCATCGATCATTGGTGGATTCTTTGGTGTCACGGGCGGTATGTTCGTGTATGGGTGGACATCGTACACTTCTATTCACTGGATGGCACCCACCGTTGGCCTGGCGATGGTGGGGTTTGGCACGACAGCGGTCATCGTTGGAAATGCTAACTATCTCATCGATGCGTACAGCAAGTATGCTGCGAGTGCCCTCGGGGCGGTGGGTTTCGTTGAGAACATCTCTATCGCGTTTCTCCCTCTAGCCGCAGCAGCGATGTACACAAATCTTGGATTTCAGTGGGCCAGTTCGCTGCTTGGATTTGTGTCTTTGGCCTTGGTGGCGACTCCTTTTGTGGTCCTCCAATGGGGCAAAGAGATCAGATCTTACAGCCCATTCATGCAGGAGGCTACTGTAGAGCGGCGGCGAGACAATGCCGCAGCTGCAGGTGTATAGGGGCCGGGCCAAACTCGGGCCACCGTACCCCATGTCGCTCCTTTGGTTGTTGGCACTCGAGTCATTCTTGAATATATGAGCATAAGATTTTAGCTTAGTGCTAGTAAAACATCACTAGAAGTCGACTGTGGAGGAAGTGGAGAGATGACGACTCTCAAAGTCATATTCCATTAAGAAGTAAGGTTCACCACTGGATATCTAGTCAAAATGTCATCTGCGAATGGTATGCTTCTCAATGGGGCTATACCTCCAACCAAACTTGATCCAAAATAGCACGAAGTATCAATTCGCTAATTAGACGTCAACATATATAATGGCACAATTAGACATGGTATTTGAGTATGCTTTATCCCACTTGAGAAACTCTCTGAACACATTTATGCAGTGGGAGATGCCATTCTCTCACATGTTCACACATCAAGGTTAACTAGTTAGTTATAACTAACTACTTAGGAAGTATACCTAGGTACATGGATGATCCTGCCTAACCATCTTGGGAACCCAATCCCAATCAGGCAATGGCTCTTTTCGGCTTAGCGTGCATGCAAGTACAGTGACACCCATGGCCCCACCTGAAATAAAATAAACTGCTAATAACTTCGAGCCTCTCGACAATTCTACCGACGAGGTACAAAGCTCCTTACATTCATGTGTTGATAAGTAATAGTTCGCGTTAAGACTAGAAACAGAGCCCCCGGTTTGGAAATCTTGGGACTGCCTTCGGCCCCGATAGCCCCCCTTTTTTTTTTCTCTATACAACCTTTGCGATAAGAATAATTCAGAGTTGTCCCGGGACGGAAGTTAAGAGTGTTTCTAACATCCGAACCGCGTGGCGGATTACTAAAACTTTACTAGTAACCTTGGGAAATCCACCAGACGTAGCCGTGCCAAGCGCCCAATACACCTACCAGTTATTGGTGCGGGTGCCTAAGTGCCTTTTGTATTGGTAAGTCATACAAAAGATACTTAATTTCTAGATTTTGCATTTGCTGGCTAATACGAATGAAGTCTTGACCCAGAATCACTTCCAGTCCGAAACCTTTGATCTCGGGTGTTTCGGAACGGATGTTATCTGCGTTAAACCTCAGATCAGAGCCCGTCGATCTATAGATCTTAGCAAACGGATGACGTCAACATTTAATCCCACCAACGATTACCAATTAAGAGGACTTCATCCCACCGACAACATTTTGTATGACTATAGTCAACCTTAGAATGCGGTATAAAATATTACACTAACCTCAGCTTGCTTTACTTCTTATGTTCTAAACCGACAATCCAATTCACACTTCTATCTATATCCCATTCTTCATCATGTGTTTCACAACAACGGACGACGGCCAGGAAATCTACTTCCGAACTCAAGGAGATACAGGTACCATCCTTGTATTCGTATCCGGCTACTTCGGTGTCGATAATATCTGGCAACCCTTGATCGCGAATCTGTCCTCGCAGTACCGTTGCATCTCCTACGACAACCGAGGTTACGGACGCTCTTCGAAACCTACGTCGCCCGAAAGCTATTCCGTCCCCCGTCATGCCGCTGACCTCCACGCGGTGCTGAAAGCCTGTAACGTCGCCGATCGTGTGGTACTCGTAACCCATTCTATGGGCTGCAACATCGCCGCAGATTTCAGTCTCGCTCATCCGGATCTTGTCGCTGGTATCGTCTACTCGGCCGGTTACTATGATGGTGAGCATATTCAGAAATTTTTATCTCTGGAGCTACTCAGCTCCGGCGTGGAGACTCCAAGCCAATGCGTCGCCTTTTACACCAGCATCGGGCTAGACGAAGCCACGGCCTTGGAAGCGGCGAAATGGCCCGCTCATGGTCGTCGGAATAACGCCAAGGCCCTCATGAGCTTTACAATGGACAGCGATCGGTATTCCAGGATCAAGGTTCCTGCGCTGGCGTTGGTGGGAGAGAAGGATGTGGCCACTCCAGAGGAATTGGTGACTCCGATTACGGAGCAGATGCCATTTTGCAGACTGGAAGTGCTCCGGGGCGTTCATCATTTTCCACCGACCGAGGCCCCTGGCGAAGTGGAACGTTTGGTGCGAGAGTTCTTGGGAAAGCTGTCCCTATGAATGCCGCATTTTATGATTATGGGATGTGTTGACATTCGTGTATTACAATAGACACTATTATGAACGTCAAGTGGTGTGGGAATAGACTTTTGGACCCTAATGTATATTGGTTGGTGATGTGAACTGTGATGTACTCGGATTGGGCTCAAAATAAATGAAATGTGGCGGCGATGGTGGCTACCCTATCAAAATATCGCCCACTTTTAACTAAAAACCACAATTAGCGTACTTCGACGAGGCTCAAATTCAGCTATATATAAAAATAATACTAATTTACTCCGTAGAACATATCAAAATCTGGGATTTCTACAACCCCATTATGTATGCTCGAATGGGGGTGTGAAACTTTGCTCGAGTCAGCCCTACATAGTTAACAAACCCTAATCACACGAGTCAGGGATATACTACTCCGTACTCCATACATATGTTGTACAACATAACTAGTTGACGACGATCGAATCTCCCCCTGACTTTTCGGCCAAAAAAAGCAATCATCTTTAGCTAAACTCTAATAGGTGTGTGGTGGTCACATCATCAAAAAGGTCCGGTCAACTTCCGATCCCTATAACCGCCCTTTCGGTCAAAACAATATTTACTCCGGCCCCACTTCTCTTAATTATGGGCAGAATAAAACCCCCATGGGCTAAGGGATTGTGATTATAGTGATCGCTAGCTTCTCACCATCTGTGGCCGAGATGTACCCGCACTACAGAATATCCAGTGGATAGGCGCCTCTAATACGTGGGAGGGCCAAGACGGTGGTTCAATAAGAAGTGGATCAATCAAGTTGACGATCGTTGTGAGATGAAGAGCTGAATCGCGATCTAAGTGCAATTATCAGGCATACCACTTACAAATTCTTCACCCTTGTATTGTTGAGAGATTTATTTAAACCCCACGAATTCGAGGAAAGTGATATATTCACCATCTCTCTCCTCTTCTCACCCTGGCCATTCTAGCTTTTCTCTCCCAACATGCGATTCGCTACCATTATTACCTACGCGCTGGCTGTGACCACTGGTGCTGCCATGAGCCTTTCAGACATGGTCAGCGACGTTCACCATCTCACTAGCCTTGCCCACGACGCTACCGACTTAATCATGAGTATCAACAATACCAATGCGCCCCAGAAGGGCCCGGTATGTCCCCGAAAAAGTCCCCCTTGGCGACGGGCATCCACTCATCTGACCGAGCTGTAGTTACTGATCAACAAAATGACAAAAATTCGTATGGTTACCGAGCAGGACGTCGCTGCCTTGAGCAAGATGCGCTCATTCGAGACTCGCCAGGAGTGTCTAGATGCCGAGAACCCCGAGAACTGCCATGAGGTCCTCAATCGACGCCCGGACTTTTTAGACATCGACCCCGCTTATCTCTGTAATGAGATCTTTATCCCATTATTTATAACCCAGACATCAGTTTCTAAGAGGTCTTTCAGGAGAAGTGTGGTATTCAGCTAAGTGTAGTATAGTAGTATATGCAAGGGGAACCCGATTTCCCCTAGGCTGTGATCGCTATAAGGGATTTTAAGGCGCACAAATGAATGAAAATTCAATAGTCTACTCCTAGTCGGTGGATCTGAATGAAGGGTGATTGCTAGAGGATCTCAGCTATGAGATCGAGCATCCTCAGCTGAATATTGCAATGTGGAGCCTCTCCATTTTTGATAACTGAAAGGTGTACAACATAATTCAAGTACAACATACTCTACCTAAAGATATACCGCCTATTTATTGCCTGGCTGCTGAGTATACAATTAGAGTGGCCAAGGTATTGATTCTTTGTAAATATGATTACAGAGATACTGGCCTTACGCATAGGTAGAACTCAAGAAAGCCCACAAAGCCCACAAAGCCCATAGCCCAACCCAACCCAACCCAACCCACCAAATGGGGCTGGGTTTTGGGCCCTACCTTTGGGTCTATTGGGGGCCCATTATAGGCCCACATTATTTGGGCTCACCAAACAATACAACATACAGACATGCCAGTTTATCGTAGCTACATAATTAATGCGTTTTGCCTTAGCTTTTTTGGGGGTTTCAAATTACTGTCTAAGGGATGTATATAAAGCTATACAGAAATTTCCTTTCTCTTCTTCTAGTAACGTTATAAACTGATTTAATTGCATTGATAAGATATCAAGTAACTAGTAGACTTTTTATATAACTACTAGTACTTGCTACTAAGAATAGTAAATAGAGGTACTGTTAGTACAATTCTATCAATCTCCTCTACAAACAAAATCTATATTATCTTTTCTGGATCATCCAAAGCAAATCCGCATTTGCAACGGATAACAAGACGCGGAGTGTTTTCGATCGACGACGTGACCCCACCACACGTTCTCAAAGCCCTTCGCCTCCTGTTCCGCCCATACCTCTTCAAGCAACGGGATGGTGCTCCCAAACATCTGATACCGCGTCCTGTCATTCCACACCGAGCAGAACTGCACGATCTTCTGCCGTACCGATGGGTCCCGTTGTTCGCATCCCGCGAAGAAGAGTGGCAGCAACGCCTGTCGGGCAATCATGCTCTCGTCGCGACACGCGACCACATGGTCCACAATGACCCTAGCCCAACGGACAACGCGCATTGGAATCAGGCTACCCGGCCTCCATCGGAACACGCGGTAGACATAGAGCAGCAGGCCGTGTCTCCATGCCTCTGAGCAGTGCATGCAATCTTGGTCTTGTTGGATGTCCTCTTCGCTACCAAAGGCAAGCGCAGCAGGGGAAATATGATCCCAGGACTCGAGCACTTGCTCGATTTGGGTGATCACTGTGGGGTCGAAGGTCACGTACCGCATAGACGACGATTGGCGCTTTTCGGCACTTAGACGCGCCACTTGCATGACTAGCGTGACCACACTGTGTGGGCAGCCGCAAAGGTCGAAGAAGTTCCACTTCCGATCATCGGGGTTCGATAGGATGGCTTCGACGTATGCGTACGGGAACACGCAGTCTTCCCGGGACAAGAGACTGGTGATGGCATCCCACCTAAATAGTTTAGCTGGAAGGGCCGGGCTGATTTTGCGCAACATGGGGTGGGATTATATACCACAACAGCAATCCTATTTGAGCATCTGCCCGAGAGGATGTGGTCCATGCTTCGATTCCCCCGTACGCTTCGATAAGGCCATAGGCTCCCTTGAGATGTGTGCTCCAGTATCCAAGGGTGGATTGAGTTTCCTAACTTTGGTTATCAACGGATTAGGTCCGAGCAACAAACATAAAGGTGCAAACTAACGTCGAAGGAAAATAATATCATAATCGCATCAAGCATAGAGGAGCCATCTCCTAGATTAGCGGGTGTGTTGAGGCTCTCGCGGAAGAGTTTTAATGCTGTATAGTGATGGTCGTCGGTTGATGGACTCTTAACATGATGACCCGCTAAAGCCATCACTGCATGGACCAGAAACATAGGTTCCGGTACAATGGTTCTGCGGTATCGAAACGGATTCATCTGTAGGTCGGACGTTAATGGGATCGTGCAGAATTCCATATTGTCTATGACTTGTTAGTGGGCATTGATAGGAGCGACTGGGAGCAGAATAAGCGAACATCTCTCGAGAATAGGCCCAAACCGCTGATAGATATTACTGTACAGCACGCTCGGTGGTATTAATGTAGTAGTGTTGGGGAGGTCTGAAGCTGCCACGGGACTTGGCTCTATAGCAGCGACTTGACTCGACCATTCATAGAAAGCGTCTCCCTCAGCTAATTGTAGCTGTCCGTCGTCTGTCAATGTGGATGGACACGGGGATATACCCTCGAGGCCGGGAGAATCAGCAGCCCTAGTCGGCGATACATCACCCGAGACCCTAAATAGCGTCTCTCCGGAGGGGCTGGCCGCCTCAGGAACGTTGACTTGAGAACGAGTTTTATGTTAGCACACAACCGTAGATTATTACTATTAGTCTTTAGAAGACAGACAAAGGACAGGACAATACCATCAGGTCCCGAGCCTTTTGCCTCGTAATAAGTAATAGGTTCGTTCAATAGGCGGTCGGGGACTGGGGGGTGTATAACTGATGGCTGGTGGAAAGTGCATGGTCTTACGTTCTCTCATAGGGTGCTCTGTAATGAACACGAATTGCTGAGGTCCAACTGGGTTTCCCAAACGACCCCTATTGGTCCTACGGGTTGCTGACCTTCTTACGGGTCTATTGGAGAGAGAATATCCTGGCTTCCAGGATAGCTGCATTTTAAGCGTTTCGTAGATACCGAGTAGGGTATCGCCCGATTGGTCGTAATATTCGCATTGGGCATTGGAAACCCTGTGAAAGGGGGCATTCTACGAGGTTGCGAGCAGGGATCAGGTGAAGCCGTCGTGAGCGGTCAGTACTAAGGTAGGCCCCGGTCCCCGGGTATGTTTAAGCTTAGTAAGAGTAACTAACTATATAACTAGCATTTAGTCAACGCGATTTCTCCGAATTACATATTAGACAGTATAGAAAAAGGCCAGGCCAATGGCATATAAACAAAAGAATGAAAAAAGAATGAAAAAAAAAAAAAAAAAAAAAGAATGAACAGGGATATCTCAATGGTTGGTTTCTTCCTCGCCCTCTTTGCACTTGGAGATGTTCTTGCGGACATAAGTCTCCCGCACCAAATCACCTTCATGCTTGAACACCACCCACTCACCCATACCATACTGCTCTGGGGCAACACGTATACCACGACCACCACCACCAACAATCACATTACCAGGACGGTATTTGGGATCTGCCTGCATACGCCGGATAGCAGAAACGTGGATCTCAGCATCAAGCGGAACATCCCGCACCTCACCACGAGGCAACGGCCAACTAATCGGCTTCCACGACCCATCAGGCTGCAGATCCATACGACGGAAGGGCAGCCATTCCATAATGCGCCACGTGATAACCGACATAGTAGGAATACCCTGGTTGAACATCAGACAGTCATGCAGCAACCCCTTTGTACTGGAAGTGTGTAGCGCGTGCCAGAAATCGCGACTCGCAGCAGTGCGCTCCTTCTCATCAGGCATGGAGCGGAAAGCATCATCGTTTTCAACATGAGGCTCAACGCACCGACTCGGCCGCCGGGAACTAATTTCTTCCCGGATGGGACTGTAATCACCGTCGTACTCCTCCAGACACTGGAACTGCTTCATCTTGCGCTCATCGAGCTCGAGTCCGGCCTTTTGCGCTTCCTGTGTCATCCACACGAGCGGCGCGTGGCTGAGTGCCCATGACTCGCCGTCCGAGAGCGTCCATCCACCGCCAATGTCCGCGTGGCAGCCTGGGAACCAGACCTCGTGGATGTCTTGGTCGTCTTCGTCGTCGCTTGAATCGCCTTCTATGGCGGGGATTTGCACTGAGAGGGTGTTGGAGTGCACGCTGTGGAAAGACTCTCTGCTTCGCACTGAGCGGAGATCGTCCATTGACCCCTTGGGCACTGCGAGGTTGCGTCGGGGAGAGGGTGCGCGGTATTTGTTTGGCTTCATTGTCCCGCGTTCGCTACCGGCGCGGGAAGATGGTCGTGAGGGTGTGTGTGGAATTTGGTGGTGCGAGGCACGGCGCCCGGTGTGGTAGTATGTCTCTCCAGTGCTGGGCCCATGTCTGGGAGTATTGAATCCAGGCTCGACCTTATCTCCATCCTGCTGTTCCTCCTCGGGGTTGTCATTGATTTGAATGGCAGGGACGTTGTCTGAGACTTCCTCCTGGGGCTTCTCTTTGTGATCCTGATGGAAGCGGTGCAGGTGGTTCGTGTGCAAATGGGCGCGGAGGCGGTGTTTCCTCTTCTCCTTTGGACGTGCACCAGAAATCAGATCTTGACGGAACTTTGCGCGACGCTCGTCGATACCCACAGCATGGCGAATCACTTCGGCTGAACTGCGTGCCGTGTAGGGGAACTTGGTGCGCTGCATCCAGGCAGATTCGAAGCGCGGTACACTGTTGACAGTGTCGAAGAGACCCATGAAACGGATACGCGAGATAGGGCGACTGAACGTTTCACGGAAGGCCTTCATGTAAGTGAAGAGCTTCTTCTTTTCTTCGCGCTCTTCTTCCGAGTCGTCGGACCGCTGCTGCCATTTGGCGAATGTCTTCCATGCAAAGCGGACCAGCTCCTCGTTTCCTGCTTCGAGGAGACCGATATAGTCCAGCATCTCTGCTAGGAATCGTGCGATGTATGAACCACGACTAAACCCGATGAAGAAGATCTCATCGCCAGGCGAATAGTATCGCATCAAGAACTTGTATCCACCCATGACATGCTCGTCAAAGGAAGACCCGACCGCCGAGTCCTTGGCCTTTTGATAGGCGGACTTGATACGTTGGATTCGGCCATGGCTAGTTAGCGACTTGGAGGTCACATATGTGCCAATGCCCGGCTGGTAGTAATGATACTGGTGACTCTTACTGCGGTCAAGCATCTGCAACTTTTTAGCATGGGCTCAACCCTTGGCTTGCAGTCCCACTTACGCGAAAGATCTTGAGCACATTGCTATCCGACTCATCACCAGCGAATTTGTTTCCGGTACCATCAAAGCACAGCACAAACTGCTTTGGCATACCCGACACGCCTTGGTATTCATAAGCCATGATACTACCGAATTATAATACAGTAGGTCAGACGAAAAGAAAAGGTCGAAACTTCAGGCACACCTAATAAGACCTGAAGGGGGCTATATACGAGAAGGGGGGTGGGAAAGGCTCAAGGTTGGGATGACGCTTTATTGCAGCTGGGTACAGCTGGTATTACACGAATCAGCGCCCTACATGCGGACCCAGCAGAGAAGGGGGGAGAGGTTAAGAATGTCCCAACCCACTAGCCGATCATTGCAGGTTTGTGAAAAGAATACGTCAAACCGGAGTGGACTGACGGGCGGGCCCCCAGACTTGGCACATTCCCATCACAACATGAGCCTTATGTTGTATGTTTTTACTTTTGGGATGTTTTTCTGTTGATGATCGGTGACTTACATGCAGGGAAAGATTACACGAGAACCTACTTTGATCTAACGGAGGTGCATTCTATCCAATGGATACGCGTCGGTAAGCATTGCTGGATATGCGAGTTTGTTACGAACCAGGCTGAACTTGACTCGCGCACTTTCTGCACGAGGGATGTGGGCTGTACGGGCTGTACGGGCCGGACCTGGATAGCGTGTGGATTTGGAATTTCTGTGAGAGCTGAACAGAGACCAAAAGAGAGACGTGCAGATTTTACTCCTTTGCTACTCCATCCACAAGTACTCATTGGTCCTATGAGTTTTTGTCAGGAGACGATCCGAGGTGGAATTCGGGATATTATTGTCGATCTTTCCCCACATAGCCTCAAAGAGCTTGAAGTGACTAATGATTCAGGAGGTCCACGGGTGTAAGGGGGACGAGAGGCGTTCCTAGTTGTTCTGCCGGATCGGTTCGGTCTTGAGCGATCGGATCTAACTTTGGCGCTAGCTTACGCTAGGTGCTCAGGGCCACGATCCACCGGTCGTTACCGCCATCACTTTCTCTACGGAGAGTAGTCTGAGTTGAGAAAGTTTTTTCAACGTGTCACTGTGACTACAAACATACGGAGTACAAGGTTTATATATTATACAAGGAGAGAAACATTCATCCAATCTGAGATCAATGATGGCTGACAATATGTAAATTCACGTGTTATCCCGCGTGGAACAAGCTGAAAAGGACAATACCCGAAGGGGAAGAAGAGTGGGACTTCTAGCCTTTTCTTCATAACCCGAAAAAAAAAAAAAAGGGAAGACAATCCATATTTATGGCTAAACAAGGGATCTTTCAAGGTTGTAATTTGGCAGCTGATCAATGCATCGATTATCCATGGACAGAGTACGCGGGAGCGGCCCAAGACCATGACCCGTTGTTCCATAACCGAACTACAACTACATACCTAGGTACCTTAGGTATGAGGTTAAATTATCGTCAATTAACTTGAGCACTCTCGAAGACAGAAAAAAAAAAAAAAAAAACCAAAAAATAAAGAATGGGATTTCCCATTATTCGCGTGGAAACTCGAAACGACACGAGGATAGTGGAAATAGACACGAAAAAAAAAAACAACATTAAGACCCTGAAAGTGGAGAGAGATGGATCAGATTCTGAATAATTCATGAAAATGACTGGCAGATTCGACTACCAATGACAGACGGCAGAATGTGGTTCGTGCAAGCTGACAGCCCGTTCGCCACTTAAATCGCATAGTACTAGTTCTCCGTAGTGGGTGAACAGGTGGGTCTACGATGATCCAAACCGAAAAAAGAAAATATTCTGAATGGACAGCTCTGGGTGTGTCGGTATTATATTAGGGACCTTCCTTGCATCAATCCCATCAGAGTAGTATGAATGAGACAACCTTGGAACCTTGATTGGAACCAATGATGGAATATAAAAAGTATTTACACTCCAGCCAGCCACAGAGTATCATGGAAATTATCTTTTTTTTTATCTTTTCTTTTCTTTTCTTTTTTTTTTTTTTTTTTCGAAAATGCAGAAAATCCAGTCCATCCTTCCCCCCACTTGGGGTCGATTTAGTTCGATCTTGAGATCTTTTGCAGGCAGGGGATCGCCTCGTACAGGTAGTATACACCGCTAATTATAACCCGGTATTACCCCATTCTATTATCCGACTGCTCTTCCGAAGTTGGTGATGTATGTTGTAAAGATCTCAATCTGGGTGTGGTATTCACCTCTAGGTTATGCCATCCATGCCATCCATGCCACACATGCCACACAAACTTGGTCAGACTACGGACTATATTAGATTGAATTATTCTGTATGTTGTATAGTATAGTTACACTACTCGAACAGATAACCCCCCCCCTTTCTCAGGTATCCCAAAATCGTAAATGACGATCAATTACTATATGAAGACACTTCAACTATCGACAAATCCACTTGGGAATTGAGCTTGTACCATGCGGGGCTGGGATATTGTTACAGAGACTGGGTTGAGACCCGAGAAAAAGAGATCGACCTAATGCTCTCCATCAAATCAAATGCTCTCATAGTCAATCAACTATTGATGATAACAAATCCGCCACCTCTTGGACGCTCCACAGTCCTACAGCTGACTTGCGTCGC